TTGTGAGATCGAGAGTAGACCCCCTGTTTTCGATAGAGAATTTTGTGCTTTACTTTTTTCTGATTAAAACGGACATTTGACCATTTATCACTAGGCCGCGTTTCAGTTACTGGACAGCAGCACTATTTTTGTATTCTGGCCCTTTACGACAAAAATGCGAGGTGGCTCGAATTGTGTGTCCGGAAGTATATTTGCAATATATATGTCGAAGACGGTCATGATTACGAACGCTGAACAAGGCGCGGCGCGCGGGTATCAACTGTCAACGCGGAAAGTGGGTTCGCACGCTACGACAGAGACTATGAAAGCAGGTGGCATATAGGGAAACCACTTTTTCTTCATCGAGCCGTCGAAGAAACAAGAAGTGCCACCTGCCCAGGAACTGTCATCCGTTTCGTTTGGTAGTGCTGCGCTAATTCAATCCAACCAGAGAACGGCTATCTTTTCGTAAAATTAAATAACTTTGAAACAAAGTTCTTCTCTTTTCTCATTGCTCGAATACCTACGCACCGGCCTCCTGATGTTTAAAGATGGCACTCAAAACGCTGTCGATCCGATATATATAAATATATTTAAAAAATTATGTTTTTCAAATTCTGTGTGCTTTTTTTACATACAAACAAGACATTATTGTATAGTGTAAAATAGCATAAAGACAAACGTTACAAATATGTATAATAAACAAGTTTCCCGACTACCATACAGTCACTCATCTACCAAAAAAATACCAAAAAATGACTTTGCTGCCTACAATGTTCGTAGCTGCACCTGTGGTCTATGACTGGAGTTCATGCGTTCTTATCGCACTTGCTACAGAAATAATTCACTATCCCTATCTTCAATTAGCAACTGTTATTTATTCATTGACACGTCGCGACTGCATTTTTCTCGAAATTGGAATAAAATGACGCAATTTAACAAATGTCAGATTCGTCTTTTTGCTCGACGACTGACTGCAAGATCGTACACTACTACTAGTAACATAATTATCAGTCTTCTTTACGTACATAAGATCATTGAGAAACTTACAAAAATATATTTAAAAAAAGTACGTGCCAATCTGATATAAAAAAGTATTTTAGTTTTATATCGTACATTATCATTTTAAATATTTTACTTTTCGAATTAGAACATTTTGTTATTGAGAGTACAGCTGTAGGATAATAATACAAGTACGGTAACTCCATATAATCGTAGCGGCGCGGTTTGCATGTGAGCGCGCCTGTCGCCTGCCGTTTACGGACGCACACATTCGCATATAATCTCACAGTGTATTCGCGTTGCCCAGCGCAGGGCATACAAGCCACGCTGCTATGTTTGTATGGAGTTACCGTACTTGTGTCATCATCATACTGTGGCGCAGCAATATATGAAAGTAATTCTATCGTGTCAAATCAAAACACTGCGAGAAGGCCCAGTATAGTGTTTTGTAATTTCAAAACAACTAGAATCTTTAGGCTGTTATCAGGGCAAAACATATTTATTTGTTTTTGCAAAGTCAATTTTAAAGGCTAGATAGAATTCTTTAATAACTTATGTATATGAAACATTGCGAAAATTAGAAACATAATTTTGTTGCATTTTCTCAAAATGCTGTTTTTGATATTACAATGCAGGCTTGTTGCGAATATCAGCATCTGCATCCGCGAATAATCTGCATAAATTAAAATATCGACGTCCGTATCAGCCCCTGTATTGAATGATGCTGACATTCACTGCGGATGTTCGAGTCGTGACATGACTTAAAAGGTAGGCTGGAATAATTTACATCCTTCCAGAAAAAGACTGCAAGCCGAAAAAGCAGCTCAGCTGTTGTTTTTAAGGTATAATTTGGGTAAAATTCGACTAATATTTAAGCTAGGCAGATTTACCTATTGACTTTATGTAGAGTGATTTTTTTTATTAATAAATGTCACAAAATCATTGAATCAATATTTTATTACAATGCCAAAGAAAATAGAAAGCTTTTTCATGTAGACAGATTCATTAAAGATGTACATTTTTGAATTTCTTTTTAAAAGACATCAGCTATTTTTGATATCAGCAAAATCAGCACTCACTGATGTGAAATAACCTGCACCAGCAACAACCGTATTACAGTGTATTGGTTTGACACGGTAGAATTGGCCATAGCGGCATACAAAAAACACACTAATATATTTTTAGGTATTAGGTATTACTTTAAGTTACATTTGAAGTTCCACTACAAGTATGTAATATAAACTGGTGTCGACTACTTTCGAAAATAGTACAATAAAAATTGCATGACGAAAACATGCATGCACACTTTTGATGGAAAGAAACAAACATTATTGTAAAATATAGTCAGCTTTAATATGTAAACAAGCTGCAGTGTTGTTCATACTGTCGTGCACATTCTATACCTAATTATCGTTTGATAAGATTGAAAGTAGCGCTGTTCCGAACGAGAGTGTGAACAAAAATGTGAACAAATGTAAGGGACTATGAAGTTTCATTACTTGATATCATAAAAAAAGACAACTGAATCCTAATTACAACCATCGAGTATATAACCAGAAATAGAGAAGAAATGTCATTTAATTTGTTTGATAACTATTCTGCCAAATCATTACGGTGACAATTGCGCTCCGATTGGCCAGCCCGAAGTCGAAACATTGACGGGTGTCGTCAATTGTTTCACTTCAAATCGACCACGTTAACTTAAGCGTTGCAAAATTACATACTTAATTACCGATGTTTTTCCCACATCACCGAATGGAACAGCCCCCATTGTTGGAGATATTATCCTTATTACAATAAATACAGAATATATTTGGAATATACGGAAAAATACACACAGGTCAGTTGTTGGCGCTGTACTATTTCAGCTTTCTAATTTGTGATTTCAGCGCAGACGGCAGTTAATATTTAAAAGTGATATAAGGCCCATTTGTCTGATGAGTTGCCAGGGATGGATGGCCCTTATTTCGTCTCTGTTTCTGGTTATATAGATTAAGATAATTCATAATTTTAGATTTGTTAATACTATTATTGGTTTATTGTCATTGTTATTATTATTTCATTTTATTATTATTATTTTTATTATTATTATTAGATAAATAATATTTGATGTTTGTTTGCGATTTGTGTGTGTGATCGACAACGTAGAGCTGCCATGGTCGGGTCGCGGTCGAGCTGAAAATCAGGGCTGAAATCACTACAAAGTGATTTCAGCATTTCCCTGAGCTCGTGTCCGTCACACACATATTTTAATTTTAATTTTTATTTTACATTATTTTTTTTTTAAATAATTCATTAATTCAGTAAATTGCGTAATTATACATTGTTTATCCTCATTTCTGTAAATTATTATTATTATTACTTATAAAGTTTTTTTTTATTATTATTATTATTGTGTGTGAAAATAAATGGTTTAAATGGTTTAAACGGTTTAAATATACTCGATGTTACCAACTGAGAAAATAAGTTAAAAGAATCCGACGAAACAAAATTAAAGTATGCTTTTGCATTTATTTTAGTTCATGTGATGAGCACAAAGATGCTGATAAACAATAACGTGTCAGCCAACATAATAATTGTTTTGCGAAAATGGCTGTTTTTGATAGCTTGTTCTAAAATTTACTTGAAACATCAGCAAAAGTTTTAATTTTACAAAAAACAACGACATAAATATTTAGGTGCCCGTAGCGATTCGCAGCAATCGCTACAAATCTCTTTTGTATATATTTTATAGTCTCTTTAAGTTTCAATTGTATGTATAAATACTAAATTTAAATGTAATTGTTTTTGGCGACTTTTTCTTGGCTTGTGTTTCTGTTTTAAATAAAAATAAAATAAAATTCTCATATTGCAGACAACGAGTTCTACAATTTGTTAGTCATAATAAAAATAAGAAAAGTGCTTATACATTTTATTCGTGTTAGAAGATGTTTTTTATCTTTTTCAAATCACCTTCATTATGAAGCATTGCCACATGGTAATACAACCGGCTACAGTTTTGCTTTTATAGATACGGTTTTTCTAATAAATTAACAAGCTGTAAGTACCTTTGCTTTGGCCTGTTGTTTTATACGTTATTGCATATCCGCATCCTAGCAGTGTGGCTGCCTGGTGCTACGTACTTTTTGACTTTTATTTTACTTTGTTAGTTTTCCAAATTGATTTTTTTTACACTTTATTATTGATGGTATCCTATATTGACGAGTTTGGTATAGAATGTGCACAACAGAATACAGGTATGTATAATGTACCAAAATACCACAATCTTAAATTATATTGGTAGAAAAAAAAAGGTGCAGTCGCGTGCAATGAAATGTATACGTTCACTTATTTTCGAAAATACGTAAACATTACATATTTCAAAAATATGTAACCTTGTGCTGTTTTCAAAAATATCACGACATCGTTTTAAAAATTGTAAACTTTTATTTCAAAGAAAAGTAAACAAACTACAACCTGTTAAAAGTATACACTCCTGGTTTTAAATATATGTATCCATATCATTTTCATAAATATTTAATACTATGCATTTACATATAAATGAACGTATACATTTCATTGCACGCGACTGTACATATTTAACCACTTATATGCAAACAATATTGCTCAGCAAGAGCAATGCAAAAGGTAACAAAATAATAATAATAAAAAAAAAACACGCCAAGCAAAATAAACTTAATACAAAAAGTACTGTAAAAAACAGACTTCCTTACATTGGCGTCGATTCGGGCAGGTCTTTAATGCCATCTGCTTTTATGGAGTAGTCTCCATAGTTTCTATGGCATGTATGACGATCACATTTATAAGGAACTGTTAGAATTTGACAAAAACTAAAATTGTATGTACGTTCTATAAAGAAAGAGACTAAAATAACTTCAGTTTTCCCGGAACCGACGCCATTGCGTCCATTACATATTCAAGGAAACAACTTCACTATAAATGTCATAGCTAAGCTATTTTATAAAAGTCAATTAATACGTACTTGAGAGTTTTAAGAGATTTCTTGGTTCACATAAGGAATACTGTAGGTATTAAAATGCTAGAGCCTCATTTAAAAATTAACCGTAAACTTGACTACGCGGAATTCCTACGAATAATAAACACGGAATTCCTACAATTAACAAACACGGAATTCCTACAATTAATAATAACACAGAATTCCTATAATTAATAACACGAAATTCCTATAATTAAAAAGTAACAGCTTTTGTTACACGACTTTATATAAAAGATTATTTCCCTGATGAGTTTTCGAGTAATTAAAAAAAAATCTGCACGAAGTTAGAATGAGTAGCGGCATGTTATTCCTCCTTGTCTTCAACCGCTGATAGAAATAACTTCTGACAAGTATGAGTGAATTTTACTGAAAATAATTATTCGCAATTATTTTTTTTTTACGCAATTTTATTTACTAATTACTAAGCCACGCTATGAACCAGCGGACCTCACGAATTTCGCGTCATACATGGCGCTACGACTAAAAAGTCGTTGAAAAAACCAAATACAAAAGATACGACGCAAGCAGGTAGAAAAATTCGTGAGCTCCGCTGGTTCGTTCCGTGGTTTAGTTGGTATATCGTCTGGCACGGTAAGCTAGAAGACGTCGGTTCGAATCCGGCCGGATCGAAGGAATTTTTTCTGAGTGTTCGATCTTTGTATTAATGATTATAACAAACTAGTGGAATAATTTCACAAAAAATAGTTGAATATCAATTCAATAAAAATGTAAAATTACACTACATTTTTAATAACGCCCTAGAGCGGCTTTTAGCAGCACCGCATCGCAAACGCGATGCAGTAGCAGTGCAGTCGCTAATGGTCTACCTTTACACACACGCGCCATTTTAAGCAGCGACGCAAACGCGATGCAAGCGCGTGACTGCGTCGATACTAAAGGTGAGGCCGGACTAGCGTAACTTTGTGAGTCGTGAGTTGCGTTTTTTGAGTTGCGCAGTTTGCCCTCGACCGAAATTGGGTTGGAGCGCCAGACGAACGTATTTTATTAAGTTACTTTTAAGCGTTTATACGGGGTGTATGTGTCGTAATAGTGTAATGGATCCATCAAAAATAGTATGCATTTATGAAGCATTAGAAGACGATGGTAGAAAAAGAAACTGGGTACATCCACTCAATATGAAACGATTAAAGTGTGGCCAGTTTCATATATCATAGACAAGTTTATGTGAACATCCAGATGAATTTCTTAAGTACTACCACATGCCAATAAATGTTTTTCAAGAATCATTAAGCGTAGTAAAACCCTTTACTACTAGGTCAGATACAAATATGAGACGAGCCATCAGTCCAGAGGAAAGACTAATAATAACAATCAAGTAAGTTGTTCAATTATTTATATTTTAATCTCCGTATCGAACATTTTCGCAAGAAACGTCTGTACTCACGCGCATACTATACCAAAGTGACCCCCCCTCACCCCTGCCTCCACCCGCGTCAGCCAGTCACACGATGCGACCGAAAGTCAGTCGTGTTTACGCCCATGAGTTGGCAGATAACTCATTTTGCGTCGTCGTGTGAAACAAACCGTACTTTTATATGAAACCGAATGCAGCGCAAACGGCGCGACTTACAACTCACAAAATTACGCTCGTCTGGCCTCAGACTTACGAGCGTTTGCATCACTGCTATAAGAAACAGTTTCGCTAAAAGCAAACTGGACGGCGAGACTTTCTTGGTATAAACCGAGTATAAACGTTACTAACGAGGTGAGTGTGTACGCGTGAAACCGTCTTCACTTGCTATGAGAAAGCACCTCGCGAACTACTTCACTGGTGAGTATATAGTGTGTTTTTTTAATGGGACAGAATGGGAAAAACCGAAACTATAGAAGATACAGAGAAACTGTCTTAGGAACCATGCAGTATTTTACTGTGAAAAAAATTGTGATATAGTAATTTTTTGGATAATCGTGTCTTGTCCATAATAATGAACATATATGATAGATTTTTTTTAGTGACGATAGACTTAGTGTAAGGATCATTTCATAGTATTGAAAGAAATCGGAACAGCAGAAGTTGGTCAAAGTTAATAAAATATTTTTTCAAACAAAATTAATGAAATTGCCAACTTTTTTTTAATGCTGACAGACTCTGACTTTTAAAGGGATAACTTTATTGTGTAGGAAGAAAAAAAATCAGGACAGCAGAAAATTGAATAAAATGTTATTATTTTTTTTTTTGTATAAATTTTACCAATTTCTATTCTCCCGATTTTTTCTTTTAATACAAGTAAAATGATTCTCACATGAAGTCTATCAGCATTAAAAATAATAATCAATATTATTCATTTTGTATGAAAAAAGGTATATTATTTGATCAACTCCTGCTATCCCATACATACAGTCGAATTGAGAACCTCCTCCTTTTTTTTAAGTCGGTAAAAATAGACTTAATGATTCTTAAGACAGTTTCCCTACATCTCCTATAGTTTCGGATTTCCCCACTACTGTCCCATTTAAAAAACACACTGTATACATACCTACTTCTTTATATGACAGGGGTCTATATGAGTAACTAACGTTTGGCGAGCGTTCAACGGACATTGGGTTTTTGTGTAGTATACATATGTTACGCACTTTTCTGGCGTTGATCGCGCATAAGCTGTTTCACCTATTTACTCAACATTTTCTTTTGTCGTCATCATCTTCTTCTTTACAGAATATAAGGACAAGTTCTTCTCAAGCCCGTCGCCTTAAAATCCTATTGGAATAATCCCTACTTGTCATATCCCGTATTGCAGGACGTTTCTCAACTTTGCCTATGAATAAATCCGTATTAGTCGTCTACGTAGTTAAGCCATTTCTACTAAAATGTGTTTCATACACAAGGTGGACCTGATCTGCAGTGCAGTCGGTTTCGACTGCATGCAGTAAATGCGTGTACTCGTTACCCGAGACCTCGACTGCATGAAGTTGATAACCACTACACGCATTAACTGCACGCAGTCGATCTCAGCTGCATGAAGTCGGTTACAACTGCACGCAGTTAACGCGTGTAGTCGTTATCCGAGACCTCGACTTCATGAAGTTGATAGCGACTTCACGCATTAATTGCTTGCAGTCGAAACCGACTTCACACAGCAGAGATTTAATATGCGTGTAGTCGTTATCCGCGACCTCGACTGCACGCAGTTAATGCGTGAAGTCGTTATCAACTTCATCCAATCGTGGCCTCGGTTGCATGAAGTTGATTAAGACTTCGCGCATAAACTGCAAACATGCAGACAATCTGTTAGCAGCCCATTATAAGCACGCGTTAACGAAACGCCCGTTGAACGCTCGTCATGTGAACATGCTCTAAAGATATAGAAAATCGACTTACCAGACAAATCGCCGATGATCTCTGGTTTGTTTTTGATAAGAGCGTAGTAAACAGGCACCCCGGCGACAGTAATGAGCGCGCCCGCCACAACTGCAAATGGCTGGCTCATTATTGGCACTACGAGCAGGACAGCGCACACCGTCACGAACACTATGGGCATCCATAGACTAACCTATAACAAAAAGAAAATCACTTTTCGAATAGCCACTATAACAATAATAATTATCTTTATTTTCTCTTTACAAAGGTTAGAAAGTTTTATAAAGTAACTTACGTCAAATGCTTAAGTATCAAAAATACCTTTGTAAGAGACTGGAGTCCATACTAGGAATTAAAGTGTGTGACAGATCTCCAAACAAACAAAAACAATAAAAAATAATCTTATCCATATCCATTATCAATACAACAATGTCATGATTACATATTTTTGAGTATAACACTATTAACTTAAAAAAAATAAATAAATCAAAGGAGTGAGAATTTGTATACTATAGAATTACTACACGTTTTCAGCAAAAGTACCTAATTATTTTAATCAAATGTTCAATTTCGGGTCTTCCTTTTATATAAGATGCAATGTTATTTAGATGAAAACAATGGTTATGATTGAGGCTTTCGATCAGTACAGTAAAATTACAGGTTTTTTTTCTATTTGGCAGGTTCGATGACCGGTTTACACAGGCGATTATTTAAAAATCTATGAATGAAGTTCGAATTGCTTTTAAAATCATGAAGTATTCTTTGAATAAAATTTTCTATCTACGGTATTTAAGGTACTTTCCCTCTGTGTGTCACAGCCTTTGGACTTTTAACTATCTACAAAATTACCGAGTTCTAAAACTTGTAGAACATAAACTCACCTTTATAGGCCTTGGAAGATCTGGTTTCTTATATCTGAGCCACAGGACGGCGCTGCAGCTTAACGTGGTGAAGAATGATTCTACCACCGTGCAGTACGTGATCAGCGCCGTCAGGCTGTCGGGAATAAGCATTACTATGGACATCAGCATCTGGAAAAGATTTTTGTTTTGTAATACAAATTATTGAGTATCCAGACGATCCACCAGGGGCGCGACAAACGATCGCGGTAATTTCTTGCAAAGGGTTTAATTTTTGTACCACTCATGCCATAGGTTCCCAGATTTTTTAGCTCACCGCCTTCCTGCCTCTAGAGAATTTCAACGCCCACATACACAAAAAATAATTGACAACGAGTATTTTTTTCTATTAACCTATTTTTTTTTCTTCAAATATCGTTAATATAATAGTGTATTAACCCAAAAAGAGGACTTTCTCAGAATCGATGAAAAACGAATTACTCACTTCCCGCAAAAAAATATCACTGAAATGTATATGTTATAGTTTATTATAGACACTTAAGCAATTTATCAAATATGTTTAAAAATAACATGGAAAAAATAATTTACCGTTTTTGAATAAGGATTATTTTGGCCAGAACTAGCTCACATAAAGTGTGTCTCATTTTGAGTTAAGTAGGCATCTTTTGATTGTTTCTTACTATATTCTACCGACGGTTTTTTTGACGTGTAGAGAATCAAATTTAAAGTTCAGTAATGATATAATATTAAATTTCACATATTTTGAGTTACAACAATATTGTAGTAGCAGTGCGATATGGTAACACCCTCAGGACAACTTTCTTATACACAACTTGTTTATAGAATTTTTTGTTTATACCAATGTCATATGCTTACCAGAAACAGCAAAGACGGCATAGGAGACATGCACTTCATGTTGATATGGGCCAAAAGTTCTGGCATATGCCCGTTGCGAGCTCCAGCGAAGCACATTCGTGATGAGGCCATGATGTGTACGGAGAGACCGCCAAGCACGGCTGCGGCAACCAGTGTTGGCATTGCCCATTGCATAAAACCTAGTGCCTCCACTGCAAAGTCCTGTTAAATATAAGCGACAAGCATAAATTTCCTTCCTGTAGTTGTGGGGCTCCCAGTCTGTGATTATCCTGGCCAGTCCCAGGCTAACTTGGCCGCCTTCTGATCCACATTTCTGTCCTAACACGATCGACTAATTTTACACCCAGTATGCTGCGCTCCATAGCTCGCTGGCAAACCACGAGTTTGGGCTTCTGTCAAAGACCATGAGCGCCATAAGCGGGAATTAGAGGTATGCACATAACCATGAGCCTACGTTTAAGTAAAATCGGTAGGCCACCCTTCATTAGGTGTTTCATAGTGTCTTTCTAATGCTAACAAAAACGAAGTTGTACTTTCGGTTTGATGTTCGAACGCGTAGCCAAATCGCATACTGAAATTGAACGTACTTGAATTTCTATATGGAATTCGTTCATACTCACGACAGCTATAGCTTCAGTTGCTCTAACACCGTTGGGGCCCAACACTGCGAGATAAGATACATTGGCCAGCACGTATATAGCGGTCACTAAAGGCAATGACACGTAAATAGCACGGGGCAGATTTACAAATGGATCTTTGAGCTCTTCTGTCATGAAATTCAGGTAACTCCTGTAAAAGTAATGAATTATTATTACCGTCAATGTACCTATTGACGATAATCGCGGACGAAACACGGAAGAAAAAACAATGGAAGGGCCGTAAGCTCCGATTATTATCAGAACCGGTGTCCACAAAACACACACTACCATTATGTGCGTTTAATTTTTAACCAACTTCAAAAAAAGGAGGAGGTTCTCAATTCGATTGTATATTTTTTTTTGTATGTATGTTACACGACAACTCCGCCATTTGTGCACCGATTTTGATGATTCTTTTTTTGTTGGAAAGAGGGTACCCCAGAAGTGGTCCCATTTAAATTTGAAGAAAATATTCGACCTCTGAGGTTGGTAAACTAGGGGATTAATGACTTTTGAGGTCGGTTTTTTTAGTACTCTGTACTGAGGTTAGGTTATATGAGATTGTTGTTTTACAAACGTGCTACACTGTGAATATGTGGGGGGGTGAAGAGCGGCAGAAGGGCGACATATTTTATATATCGAATTCTTAGGTTTTCGCGATTGTTACACAAAGGAAAGGAAACTATTTTTCCGGATTTAAACCGCGTATATTTGTTTTTTCAAACAAAGCAACGTTTCGGGCCCTTTACAGGTCCCATGGTCACGGTTAACTGAGGTGGTAGAGTCATCAACCAGTTATAGTCATAACTGGATCCTTGCCTAGCGGGATCATTGGGTTAGTTTAGTTAGCTCGGTTAGCTAAGTTCGCGGTGTGAACTGAAATATGAATAGACGCCCCGGTAACGTGAGCTAATCTAAGTTAGCTTAGATTCGTGCGCGGTGTTGCCTGCGCTTAGAACGTACGTTGAAGGATTATATTAGTACGCAGCAAACAAGACCCACAGAGTTAAACAAATGTAGACTTACCAGCCTGAATACGAGAATATGCCTGAGTAAAAAGCAACAGACCAATCACTGACAGACAATTGTGTTCCTGCCCAACCATCCTCGAAATAACCAATTCTTCCTGCGAAAGTAATAGTACATTATTGCCGAAACCGGGTTGTAAGGGATGTCGGGACAAGTATTTAGAGTCTGAATATATGAATATAGAATATAAAAAGCTCTGTAGTCACTTACCGCCTCTCAAGCAGAGGCGTGCTCACACCTATGAGTTTCTCGGAATTTATATGCGAAATTTAATAAAGGAAAACATAGTGATGGAACCTGCAACGCCGAGGCGTCTCGACAGTTCCCAGAAACTTTCGCGACTGGAGGGACCGCAGAACACATCTTCTACTAGTTCTCCGGGCTAGTGCCGAAGGTGTCGGTCGCAGTATCCTGCGACAATGTCCGGACATAGCTATTTTATATTTAGAAGCGCAGTTGTAGCGCTACTATCGTGACACGCGCGCGCCATTTTTGCAGTCACAATTAGTGAACTAAAAATTACTGAAAAGCTGCTTCCGCCCCATTACATTTACATTACATATTTACGTTTTAAAAGTTGCTGAAGTGCCCATTCTACGAATTACTAAATCCATCATCGGTTGACTTTAGAATGATTGTTTAATCAATCGATATTAGTCTATTAACAAACACCCTTTACAAGACGAGTGCTAACTGAGCATGCGTCAGACCATTTAAACTTGTGGACAATACAGAAGATGTATTTACATATCCAATTAAATTTAAATTGTCTTTCATTAAATAATTTAAAGCTGACTGTTATCATGAAACTATTAGCTAAAAAATAATAAACTTTGCATAACGACAGGAGGAAGCAGAGGAAAAATTCCTAATCTTCGATTTGATTTTAGAGGGGTATATCCACTTTAAAGTTAAAAATAAAATATTGTATGAGTAACCACACGATATATTCAAGCATAGACATTAATCAAAAACATAAAACAATAAAGTTTCCTCGATAGATAAAAATCACGACATGACCTCTAATTTCACATTTTTTCGATTCATCCTCGAAATGCTACAGGTTACTAGGACAAATGCATGATCGAGAACTGTCACTACGGATTTTTTTTAATCCCTTTACTTTTAGAGTTATTCCGCTAAAACGAATTTGGTACTTTTAATGCGCAAAATTCAACATCTCCTGTCGCATGTCACGCGAACTTCAGGCATATATTTGTTTCACAAATTTGGGCGGAGCCAACGTTAAAACTTTTTTGGCATGCTCCCTCTTAAACTTAGACACAGCGCAGCCTGGGCATAATGGAAAATGTACAATGGTCACTTACCTTTAGCCATCCAAACAAGCCCTCCAATAATAATAATAACGAGTGCGGATATCTTTGTAAACATGAATACATTCTGCACTCGCGTCGTGAATTTCACGTCATAAGTATTGATGAAAGTTAAGAAGCCTGAAACAAAAAAAAACTAAATTTAATGATGTAATGAACAATTTTCGGAATAGGGTATTTAAAGCATCCACAATACCCGCTAATAAAAAGAAAGTGTTTACTTTGGTGAAAGGTTAGACTATCTACTGCTACGGTGTTGGTGAAATTACAAGCACATGTCGTGTGCCTACTACTAGGTAATGTGAATTGTAATGATCTCTTTTAAACAGAAAACCACCGTGAGACTCGAGACCTATTAACTAAAATAACGGATAACTCACGTATTTAGGTCGAATTTTTGCTCGACATGTTTCAAATCAATTCGTGGGCCTTAATCATGATATTCCGCCGCGGTGACTCGACGGAAACTGCGCGCCAATGCCCTGGCAGCCCGATCACTCAGTGCGGCTAAGGGAGTAGGGCAAACTACCCTCGTTTGCTTAATTCTTATTAAAGTCACACGCTACACACTGTTTTCCAGCTGGGGGGTAGCGACCATCCGCTATCACGATTGAAATTCGAATGACGACCAATCTCGATAGCTTTACACACTTTCCGTAATGTGTCCGCACCTTATCAAAACGAATATATAGCGTCGAATCCGAATCCAATGAGTGTTCCGTCACTACAGAGCCCCGATTGTCCCGGTTTTTCATACAACGTATGTCAGTCGTGTGGATGTGTTAAGGTCGGTCTCTCCTATGTAACTCTTGCCACAGGGGCAGGGAAGCTTATATACCCCGGGCACATTCTATGGCACCTTATCCTTCAATGAACGCACCAACTGTCTAAGCTGCATGTGAGAGCGGAAAATCGTCTTGATGCTACATCTTCGGCGTAACAAGTGTCCGATCTTATCCGTTACTCCCTTAAGGCAAGGGAAGTATGTCGGCAGCCTCTCCACTACCTATATACTACTAGGGCTTCGGCGCGAAGTTTCCGTCGCGTCACCGCCGCCGAATCTCATGATTAAGAACCACGAATTGGTTTGAAAAAAAATTCGACTTAAATGCGTGAGTTATCCGTTATTTTAGTTCATATGTAATCATATCTTAGTCTGAGAGCTACTCATCGAGTATATAACCTGTAATAGAGGGAAATGTCATTTAATTTGTTTGAAATCTATTCTGCCATATCATTACTGTGACAACTGCGTTCCGATTGGCTAGCCCGAAGTTCGAAACAATTGACGGGTGTCGTCAATGGGTGTCGTCAACGGTTTCACTTCAAATCGACCAAGTTAACTTGAGCTTTGCTATAATGGACGAAAATTGTAAAATTACATATTTAATATTTAATTACCGATGAAATGTGATTCCGTTTGCTTTGTAATTAGATGTTTTGCTGTTTTTCCCACACCACCGAATAGAACAGCACGGCGTTGTTAGAGATATTATCTTTATTACAATAAAGCTAAGTGCTAACGAGCGTTGATATTTATAAGAGCTGTATTGCTAATGTGTTACCAGGAATACATGGCCCTTATTTCGTCTCTATTTTTGGTTATATACTCGATGGAGCTACTTTACGTCGCCCAAGTTACTTGGCATGATATTTATATTCAATTTCATTCATTCTTAAAAGCGGTTACACACGGCGTTTTTTAGCAGCGCGTCTGCAGCGATTCAATTACGATGTAAACGCGATGCAAATTTATGTCACTATTAAATTTACAATGAACAAAACAGTAGTAGCGGTAGAGCTCCTTGTGAAAGAGTTCGGCCAGGGAAGTACTACCACCTTACCTAAGTCTGCTGCCAAGCTGTAACGTGAGCAGCATTACTATGTTCCGGTTTTGAAGGGTAAGGGTGCTGGTGAAATTACAGGCACACGGGACTTGTAAACTTATATCTCTTATGTTTGCGATTAGAAGCTTTAAGTGACCACTGCAACTGTTATGAACAGGCGTCTAGCTTATCATCAGGCGCACGACTACTTGTTCGCCCCGTCACTTGATATTTTATATATTGATATAAAAAACACAATGTCCATAAACCTATACAGATTTTTCGCACATAATCATTCAACATAAGTAGACTGCGTTGGCATCGATGCAGTAGCATGTTTGCATCGATACAACCGCCTATAAATCGCAACGCGCGTTTGTATCGCTGCTAAAAGTCGTAGTGTGTAACCACTCAAGAGTCGTATTCTAGATCTCTACTCAATGCTCAAGTCAGGATTTGTGTATGGTTTTAAAGCACCCGAAATCACACTCAAGTCCCTGCCATTAGGGTCGTATTTCCAATGCTTATATTTCCAGTGCAATCCTGACTTAAGTATTGCAGTGAGCACTGAAAATCATACTCAAGTCCTTGCCATTAGGGTCGTATTTCCAGTGCTTGAAATCATACTCAAGTCTGCTCAAGTCCTGACTAGAGCATTGAGTAGAGTTCCGGAATACGACCCTAAGAGTTGAGCGATTTTATCTTGTGACCAAATTTTCGTACAAACAAATTCTTGGTATCAAAGCAACGTAAACCTTCGTCTGCAAATGCCCAATGGGACATCTAGGAATTAATAAAGCGTGAAACAGACAGAGAACGGGTGTGGGTCGGGCGCGTGTCGGGTCGTGACGACGGCGGGTCACATTCCGTGTGCGCGTGTGCTCGTCACGCTCCCGCGCTCGGTGTGTTGTCGTCCATATAAATACACGGATATAGTCCTGTCGCGGTCCCGACCCGACTCTCACCCGCTTTCTGTGTGTTTCACGCTTTAATAAACAAATTACTTACAAATAGTAACCGCTGCAATTAGTTTACGGCACAGTGGATCTATTGGGCAATTAGGAAAGATTGGCTGTAGAATGTTATTGGCAAACGTCAAAGACATGATAGCGTTTGTGCTGGGCCTAGAAAAAGAAAAGATATTATACATTTTCAACTCATGTCACTGTTATAAATAAGGTGTCACTGTTCAAAGTCCATTAATGCAAAAAAAAATGTTGGCAGTCTCTTACTTATTACTATAAATAAGTAGATTATTGTGCCAGATAATCGGCACTTCAAACGTCTCGTAGCTGGGAATTCTCTAACAGAGTCATAATAATTTCAAGTGCATTTACCAGATCACTTACTTACTTAACTACCGCGTTTGCGTTATGATTTTTATCTAGATCTTAATTATATACTTATTTATACAATTTAAATTAAAATCTTAACACAAACGCGATAGTTCAGTTTACAGATTCCAAAACTACACTAAGGCCCCCATGTAAGCTATATATCATGATTAACTCATGTACAACTGTCAAGTTTGAATACAATCTTTGTTGAATTAGTTCAACTGTAAATTGTGTCCGAGTCCTTCTGTAGTACTAATTGATTGACTGTTACATCATTCAGCCCATTGTCGTAATATAGAACGTACAAAGGGGTTTGTGTTGTGTAACTAATAAAGCGCGTATTACAATAAGAAGCATACGTACACGAATACTAAATTGGCATCCCACAGATATAGGAAGGCTGGAAGAGGTCCATACGCCTCATGAATGTAGTGATAATCTCCGCCACTCTGCGCTAGCGTCGTTCCTGTGCGTAAATGTGACGTTAGTTATTTATCAATTGAAAAATAATCTAAATATAAAATAAATTAATAAAAAGACTACAGTTTATAATTAAAATGCTATTTCCAACGAAACCCAGAAAGTGTGACTAGTTCACACTTTCTGGGTTTCATTTCTTTCTTGTTTTTTTTTTTTTAATAATCATGAAATTGTGTCCCTATTGAAGATATAATCAAAGTGTAACTAAAAGAACTTAAAACAGACTTATACGTGATATTGCAAGAATATTCTTCTTGGTTATTATTTACTCCAAAATATATTTGTTTTATTTCAGGTTTGTTACTTTACTCACTGCTGTGTGCCAGCTGATAAAAATCTGCTCAGAAAGAAAATTTATTTATATTAAAGTAAGGCATAGATAGGTCGCATACGTTTAGTAAACATCGGAAGATTCGCAGAGCTGTACTACAACGACAGTAACCAAAATAGCACAGCTGAGTTTACATAACGCAAAATAAGCATGCTTCAGTTGAAATACGCTACTGGTGTCTCCTATGTACGGGGTGCAATAAAAAAATATGCGAATTTTTTCATTTCCTGGGCTCGTATAATTTATAATATCAAGTGACGGGACTAACAAGTCCTACATAAACTTGTGATTTTTTTTCTTTATACATATGCGTGCACATGCATCACTAACGTAAGTTGGCCAAAGCAGGAATACCAAATGCGAATTTGTTGCTGGCAGTGGTAAAAGTTACATTTAATTAACTGCAATCGGATTTTTTTTATTTTTGGTGCACATCAAAACGAATTTTCATAAAGTGCGGGGCCACATCGGAAATGTTAAATGTTAATTATGGTGAGTGCTCCATGAATAGAATAGAATAGAATAGAATCGTTTATTTCATGTTATCAATGTCACAATATTACAATTGGAAATACAATGTCAAGGGATAACTATGATCGTCAGTAATAAAATTATAATAATAATGAATATAAAATAAAGTAGTATAACTACTGATTGTCGAATAAAATAAAATTAAAATTGTTTCAAAAGAAACTCATCGACACTGTACAATTCAATATCCAATAAAAGGTTTTTTAGTCGGGTACAAAACGCTTCATCGTTTCTAACACTTTTCAGGTCTGTGGGTAGATGTTCGTAGAATCGGGGACCTATTACCCGCGGATTTCTAGTTGCAAGTTCGGTACGGTGGGCAACGGATTTTAGTGTTCCCGCGTTTCGTCGCTCATAAGTAGCCAAGTTTTGACGCGTATAAACTATTATATCATAAATATATTGTGAGTACATGGTCATTATATTGTATTTCTTAAAAAGGTTTCTGCAGGTCTGACCCTTTTTTATGCCTACTATTGTTCTTAGTGCACCTTTTTGAAGAATAAATACCCTAATCGACTCAGTTGAATTACCCCATAGTGTGATGCCATAAGACATCAACGAATGAAAATATGCATAATACGTCTGCCTCAATACCACATTGGAGACAAGAGGACGCAGTTTCCTCCGTGCGTATGCAGCACTTCCAAGTTTTTGACATAGAGTTTGTATATGTGACTTCCAGTTCAGATTCGAGTCTAGCGTTAAACCCAAGAATTTACAGGTGTTACATAATGGAACAATGGAGGTGATAATTGGCTTTGTTATAGAATTTCTTCCTGAGAACAATATAAGGTTTGACTTCGATTCGTTAAGAATAAGTCCATTCGCAGAGAACCACTCACACAGCTGCTCATACGTGCAGGCTAATTTTTCTTCCAACTCGTTGTAGGTTTTAGCACACACTATAACGGTTGTATCGTCCGCAAATAGAACCACAAGACCCCCTGATATAAAGTATGGCAGATCATTGATGAATGCCAGGAATAGTGTATTACCTAGGGCAGATCCCTGTGGGATGCCAATGGTGACGTCACCAGCCGCTGACCTACGTGTTGTACCGTTTGTACTAACCTGAACCGTTTGCCGTCTGTTAGATAAAAAAGACTTTAATAGGTTATGGGCGACTCCGTTGACGCCATACACAGCTAACTTTTGAATTAATAAATCATTTTCAATTTCATCGAACGCCTTTGTTAGGTCACAAAAAATGCCTGCAGTTTTATACTTATCATCTATACTGGTAATAATAGAATCTACTATATTTTGTGCTGCAACTACGGTGGATTTACCTTTCCTATAAGCATATTGTCTATCTGATAACAAATCGTTCATTTCGAAATGATCCATAATACTTGTTGATATAATAGATTCTATTATTTTTGATATATTCGGAACTATGGTTATCGGTCTGTGGCTTTCAACATGGGTCACGTCCCCCTTCCCTTTAAACACTGGACATACACGAGTACTTTTTAAAATATCAGGATATATACCTTCTCTAAACATTTCATTTATTAAAATAACGAGTATGTCTCCAATCACTGGCCACACCGACATTAATATATTTATAGATATATCGTATATGTCCAGCGTTTTTGACGTATGCCACATATAATAAAAACAAGTGTCTACAAGTGGTATAAATGGTTTCAAGACGGTCGAGTCGCTGAATAGGGAATAGACGAAGAATAGGATCGCTTTGATTGTCACTGCGCATCTAAACCGACGCGAACGTCAAAGGAGTGAAGAAAAAGATTCTGGACAATCGTCGAATCATTATCAGAGAGATGGTTGATGACGTTTTGGATATGAAACGGGTGGGAACAAAGTATTCCCCGATTTTTTTTCTGCACCAGCTCATAGAACTCTGATTGTTCGTGAATTCGACGTCCCCTGTGATTTCTTCCCGATACTGAAAAAAACACCATGGAAGAACGCGCTTCGGCAACGTTGAAGAGAAAGACAAAAATTGCGTTACAGAAATACTTCGGCCGATTAAAAGAAGTGCTGGCGGAAATGTATTATATCTGAAAAGCAATATTTTTAAGAGGCCAAGACTGTAATCAATGAATAAGTAAAGATTTTTCGATAAAAATAAAAATTTCGCATATATTTCTATCACACCACTTGTATAATACGTTTTTATTTACGTTTTTGTTTTGAAAAATTTAAAATTTAAGAGCCACCATATCATCTTTTCATATTTGAATATTTTCTCTAAATAGTAAAAGAAATGAACAAAACACAAGGGTCATAATTAAAGAAGTCAGATATGTGTAGATACAACTTTCCATTCACATTTACACTAAACAGTTGACATAAAAAATAATTCTTAAGCGCATTTACAACCCAAATAATAACATTAAAAAAATTAAAATAATGATCAAAAAAATAATGTTGCGACTTGAACCGTGTTTTATACTATCAGTTTTGATACTTTGAAGTTTGAGTAATTGTTACAGTGCAGTACAAAAACTGAAGAGACATTCCCCAAGCACTACAATTGTAATAAATTTGTTATTGATTCTATTTAATTCCCACAAACCTGGTGTTCTGTAAAAACTAAGCATCAAAGACATTGAAACTAAAATATTACATTTTTAATAATAGGGATAATATTATTTGATCCTCAAAGAAATGACTGGTCTTATTGCAATGTGCACTTTTTTAAATAAACCATTTTTTTGTTTGATATATATATTAATTGTTCCATATATTATTAGTTGGTCTATGGATAAATTATAAATGAACTCCATTCAGGATAACACTATTATGTTTAAGCAAACTAAATTAATATTTGGTATTGAAAAATAATCACCCTTTTTTTATTACTGGTCCTTTCTTTTAACAATTGATGACCTTTATAACCAATATATCTTTTGATATTCATCTCCATTGACTTACAATTATATGGACGTCGGGTCCGCGCTAAAAAGTGTCCGAACTTATAGGGCGTTAAAATCGTATACAGAGCGTCATTCACGCTTTAGTCTTCGTTTGTTCGACTGACAGCGAAGCAAGCAAAATTATACAGTACTGCGATGACATTACAATTTAAATTCAATGTTTTAGCTTTTTCATATTCCTTTACATGTCACTACGTTTAAATAGGTTGACTTGGGACATTTTTTTCGTGGTTTTTGTATTAGACCCGTCGTCCATTTATTTGTACGTCACTGTTCATCTCCCTAATAAATCTTGGCTGCCTGGTTGTGCCCTCCATTTTAGTTAATGTAGTAGGTTAGTATATGAAAAAGCAGCACAAGCCGAGTGAGTGAAGTGAGCATGTCACAGTAGTGGCGGAAGTCAATTTGTTTGCGATTCCGAACATGTTTTCGGGTCAAATTATATTATAATTAATATAATATTAGTATACAAATATAATCAACTTTTCACTGTACCACTACACTTGAATCAAGTTAACCTAGATGACTACTGGGATGCCACTTGTGACATGTAAACGCGTGATCCAAGCGCACTCGGATGTCAGAACCCAATCAATACATAATGAGTGGCATCCAAGTAGTTATCTGAGTGTGTATATTGTGAAAACACAGCTTTATTTTGTATTTTGTGCCTTCTCAAAAATTCATATGAATTGAGGTTGCGAGGTTTACAAATTTCATTCTGAACCAAAATTACTATATTACTATATAAATATCTGTTATTTGAATAAAATAACCAAGAAGCTACTAAAAAAACTTTGCACAAAATTTTGTGGATTTGATGTGGCCCGGGGACAGGCCAGAAAAGAAAATAAAATTAAAAGTTATTTTCTGTAAATCTAATATTATTAACACTCAAAAAAGTTCAATTGCCAAATACAATGCACGTATGTTGACATCACTGTGAATGCGAGGAAGCCGGAGTCAAGCTCGTATATTTTTTTTAACAAAAATGTCCCTTTTATAAACAAACATACGTAAGTATTATGAGAACACACTTACCCAGTTCTGCATAACATAGAGCTCCAAGTGTCGCGAGAACACCACAAATTGCCCATACAGACAGTGCACCCCAAACTGACCCTGTGTACAGTAATACTTCTTTGGGCGATATGAAAATACCGCTGCCGAATATAATGCCTAAGATTATAGCTACCCCTTCCAGCAGCCCCAGCTGCTTTCGCATCTTCACTCGTTCCTCAGCCATCGTTTTTATTTGTAACCAATTTAACTATTCAGTCGACTGCACTCGAGAACGCACCACCAGACTCCTAACCTATATGGCAATTTAAAATTAATTGACCTGCCACATTTCTAATTATAACAGCCTTGTAAATTAATTAAAGAACGTAATTAGGAATATACGTTCACTGTCTTAGTTAGAAGTTTAATTTAATAAAAGTAATTGTATTTAATGTAAACTTTATACAAAAAGCATGAATTTTTCGCGGTTTGTGGTTGGTTCTTTTTTTTTTATTTACCCCTCGCCCCTCACGGCCTCGCGGTAAGCAATTTATATCATGCCGGTTCACAGACATAATGTCTGTGTACCGGCTCCACACGCTTACCATTTGCCGCAAGCGCAAGCCCCAAACTACAAACTCTTGGCAAATTATATGAGACATACGTCGTCATCCAAAAGCTGGCAAGCGCACTAGTGTCCTCCAGAGCACAGGGTACTTTATATCTCCAGAGAAGCGAGCACTACAGACGTCGAAATTTGTATCTGTTATTAAGTTCAGCTTGACCTATTTTTATTACAAAAAGAAGCAAGATGGAAGGAAACGACCATCGTCTTTATCCTAGTCCTTATGCTTCGGATTCCAAATGCAGGGTTCTGCTTGGTAGCACTCCAGAAAGAATAAAATAGTCTCATTTGACCAATCAGCCATTTTCTAAAATAGCCACGGAAAGCTATTACTGTTAGTACAGTGTCAATAGCAGGAAGCTTGACATTAAAGGTTTAAATTTAACTCTATGCCGCTTGCAATAAGAACGGTACAAAGTCCAAACTGTCAAGCTCGTTGTTTCAGATTTCCATAACACAAGTGCTTTAGTTACTTACATTGTAATCAGAGAAAAGTATGTGATAGTTGATATTGTCGAATATTCCAGAATTTACTAAGATTACTAATTATAATAGTTGTTTTTAATAGTAGTTGTCTCTAAATTCTTTCCGTTGTGTATAAGAACTCGTCCGTGTCCAGGCCAAGGCCAGCGCCGGTACGGGCACGCAGTTCACACAAACTAGCACGCCCCGTCCACGTCTCGGGCACGGCCCTGATGTGTGTGGATAGTCCTTGAAAATACCTACTGCTAGGCTTTGTTTGGCAATAGCTTTTTTTTTTTTTCACACCGGGGACCGGTCAAAACGCGAGCAAGAGTCGCACGGTCAACACGCACCGACTGATCATCGTCATCCTATTGAAGAGCCAGGCTCTTGTCGGTGACTGATAATAGTAGTAATTTTACAATACAAGATAAAGTGATTCTAAATCTGCTGAATAATTTTATACATATAGGCGGTTTGTTAATAAATCTATTATAAACGTTGCTATATAAAAATATCAATATCATTCATAAACAAAGAAATAAATAATCTTTTTATCAATGTAACAAAAATATTACAAAATTCTAGAATACGAGGGCATTTTCCCTACATAGCGTAATCCACTCAAAATCCCCAAACGAGTTGTTGAGTTAAAATTCCCTGCATTTGGGGAATTCTTCATAAATTGGCAACACTGCTGTTAGTTTTCTAGCCGTGGGGCGACGGCTTAAGAATACATTGTCGCCTCCCCATACATGCCCGTGGGGGTCGTAAGAGGCGACCGAGGGCGTCACAAGTGTCCATCTGCTTAGCATTGTGGTAGGCTCTGTGCCGACTGGATAGCGACCACAGTACACACGGCGGAAAACCCTCCACAGTGAAACGCTTTTGCGAATCGCGTTCAGGGATCAGTTGGTGTACATCCAGTGCATTTGGCCAGACCGGCAAATTGATAGTGACGGAGTGAAGATATTTGTGTTTTCCATCCGTTACTCTCATCTCTGGACTGTATTCGCACTTTCCATCAGGCGCGGTGCAGTCATTTTGTCGAGTCGCAATAAAAAAAAAAAAAAAAAAAAATAGTTCAGAAAAAGTCTGACGAAAGAATAAAGAATCGGACGCCTGTCGGACGTGGTATTGAGTGAATCCGATCCGATAGTTAGATCCGATCATCAGACACGAAATCGAACGTGTATACCCGCGCTAAGTAACGTAATTTAATTGTGATTGAATCAGAATAGTTGTCTTGAAGTAGTGTAGTTGTAATAAATGATAATCAAATCACCATGGTTTTTAACTCAATGCATTGTTAAGGTGCTAGTTATACAATAAGTGTTTGTCATTTAACTTCACTAAGAGCGGTTGCACACGGCGACTTTGCAAATGCGATGCAAACGCGAGGCAAACACGACGTAAACGCGATGCACGTTTTAAATTAATTAACTAATTTATTTATTTAATGTATTTATTAATTTCACTTTTAAATTTACAATTAAAAAACAAAATATTGCGTATAAACAGATTTTTCGTACATAATTATTCAACATAAGCTACTGTATCGATGTAGAAGAAGAGTTGAAATATGCAAAGGTACAATGATATTATACATGGAAACAAGCTCACTGGAAAGATGTTTTTTATATATTTGAGGGGCTAACTTTAATAGAAAAGCATATCTTCACGGTATTTATTAGAAAAAATACTAGAAACTTTCCTCAATGGAAGTTACAAATAATTTTTGACCAATGTGTGTGACCATTACTGAAACAAAATAAAAAGGATATTTACACCTCTGTAGGAAATAGTAATTTAAAAGTTTAAATAAAAGGAAGTATTAGTCATAAACGTAAATGTAGTCTCGATAAAAACACCACACTTATATAATAGGGACTTACATTAACCTACACCATAATAACTTGAACAACCAACAGCAGAAACACACACAATTATTATAATAAAATTAACAAAGTATATAGAATACAATTTAAATGATTATATGACTATATGTATATTATTATAAAGGTTCGTCTACTCAACTTGGTCAAGTTTCAAAGCAAGTACGCGTATGCATGTACAATAAGAGTCGTATTCCAGAACTCTACTCAATGCTCAAGTCAGGACCTTGAAATCATACTCAAGTCCAGGTTTGACCATTGAGTAGAGTTCTGGAATACAGTCTTTGTGAGCGTATCTGCTCGACCGTGCAGCCTGACCTTGTAACTAGTTTGTGGCTAATGACATGTTTAATGTCTTCATTGTAAAAATTAATAAGAAAAATCATTTAAAACGTTAAAAACGGGTGGTGTAGCAAAAGCTACACCACCCGTTTCCAAATCCGTCCGTGGACTAGCTAATCAGCCTGCGCACATGAAACGTCCTTAATTATTATTATTATTCCCATCACTAGTAGTACGTAGGTAAAAGGGTTGATGCTGATACAGTTTTTTTACACCTTAGCGGATGTGATGCGGGGTTACTGATTTTACGTATTTAAAAAAAAACCTACTTACATCCTTACTGAATGTATTCACATGCAAAAGCTTCCTATTTTCTTTGGTATTGTAATAAAATATTATTTCAATGATTTTGTGACATTTATAACAAACTAATCAATCTTCATGAAAACAATGACATTAACAAAATACTTATTTAGATTTATTTATTTATTACTTAAAGACAAATAGATGGTCTTACACGGATGAGAAGAATTTTAATACAAGAAGTTATATTAAAATATTTGTTACATGTTAAATGTTGTTAAATGTTCTTTTGTGAACGATAAAACGTGTGTTGTAATAATAATTTCTCATTACTGTGCCGTCTTTCTCATTTATGTTTATGACAAAATCATTCGTGTTACTGCAATCTCATTCGATGGACATAATACATAGTTTTTGTTGTATTTCACTTAAATACTTCTGTGAGTATAATTATTGACATTGCTTAAACTTGTTTGTACATACGTTTAAGACCTCAAAACGAAAAGAAAAAGGGTTTTACAAAAATCACTCAAATAGTGCCATTGAAATTCGGAAAGTGAAATTCACCCGTAGATTATCCGCGGATACGGATGCTAATGTTCGCAACAACTTTGGTAGGTACTATAACTGACCTGCAAATTTCCTCACGACCTTTGGTCTACGTTTTACGAAGACATGATAGACAGGCAATCCGCATAGAGTGACGAAGATACCAGAGACAATAGCTACGGGTTGGCTGACTATAGGAACAAGTAGCATACCACCATTGACCACCACGAAGATTATCGGCCAACACAAAATGACCTGGCGATTAGAATTACAATTTAATTTGACTGTGTATTGAAGTAGTTTCCAATTAGTGTATCGCAAGTGCACTTACAAAAATGTTAAGTAGCAATGAACGCAAACATACCCCACACCCCCACAGAAGGGTAAAAAATATAATTTACGATTGTTTCAGTAGGTATACTGAAATAACCTTAAATTATATTTTACTATAACCGTAAATTTATTATATTACTAGTATTTACTATAAGAATAGTATTCTGTTAAAAATTCTTTTCCAGGAATTTGTTACTTGGTTTTGCTCTGGATCAATCGAGTGGTCTTACTTCTTATAAATACTATAGTAATGCTCGTTGATTATTAATAAAATTAATTAATTTTAATATAACTAAGTACTTCTGATCCCTTTAAACAAAAATTGCTAATTATGTACCACCTTTATAGGTCTTTCCAACTCTGGCCTCTTGTATCTTAGATAAATTACAATGCTGCAGGTTATGGTTGTGAATAACGTCGCTACAACGACACTGTATGTAATAAGATGAGCCAAACTGTTTGGCAATAACATTACAAGTGATAATAACATCTGAAAAGATAAATATGGGGTTGAGATGTAGTTTCGTAAATAACTTCATTCTTGGCTGAAATACACTAGCAAATAAAGACTCTCTTGACTGTTAAAGAAAACCAGGGCAGAATGAGCCCCCTAATTCTTAACATCAAATTAAGGGCTCTGTAAAAGAAAACAAAACAAATAAAGTCATAGAATCAAATATTAATTGTTTTAGGAACATGATAATTGCACAATCAATAAGAACAACCGTAATATCATATTAAAAAATGTTTAAAAACAAGTGGAAATTTCTATTTCTGCCCAGTACCATGGGGCAGAATGAGCCACCAAATCAAAAAAGTAAAAATGTGTTTTACTCGCGATGAAGTTCGCCTGCCATTTGAATTTCTGTATTAAAGGGATGTTTGCTGTTATTTTTACAGCAAGTTGGAATAACAAGCATAGTTCATTCATTATAACTCTAATTAGACGTCTTTCAATTTCTATCATTAATATATTGTGAAACAATTGTTGATTCTTGGTCTGCAGTAAAAACCAGGTGATTTTTTCCAATAGATTTGTCTACAACTGCAGACTCATTCCGAAGCTTTTTCTTAGCATACATTAGCGCTAGGTACGGAATAGGAAGCGTTGGCTTTTTTGTACTCCATTTTGTTTTTTTATGACAGCATCCACAGCAAGCTCCATCTGTTTGGTCGACCAGCATTGCCTGTTGGTTTTTCTTACGTAATTTCGCACGATCTAAAACAAGCGTGGGGAATAAGTTGTGTAAGATTAGCTTTTCTAGAATAATTTGGAATATGGAATGGGGCAGAATGGCCCCTAACCCATTCTACCCCAACAGGAGCTCAATCTGCCCCGCCCATTCTGCCCCAGGACCAAAGTTTCAGATAAATGTAAATGACTCATTGATTTTTAATCAAAACGGGAAAGATGTACTAATCACATAAATATGAATAGTGCATCTAGCGATTATTACAAGCGTAAAAAAATTATGATAACTAGAAAACTTACCTTTTCTTTTTTTGTTGCAAAGAGGATAGCTCAGGAGTGATACCATTTAAATTTGAAGAAAATATTCCACCACTAAGGATGGCGAACCAGGGGATGAATGACTTTTGAGGTCGGTTTTTTAATACTCTGTACTGTGATTTTTCTTATTAATTTTATTTGTTAGATGTAAATAAAGTATGTATACATATGTGTGAGTATTTAGTTTAAATTACGTTATTAATACAATATTAGTTTTAGTATTAGATTAGGTACTAATTCGTTTTAAGTTCTTTTTCATCGTGGTCTGCCACAGTATCATATCCGATCTTCCATATATTATACTCATCTCGTGTAACAAACAGTTTACAAATCTTACCAGAAATGAGAGAGCAGGTATTGGAGAAAAACACTTCATGTTAATATGCGCAAATAATTCAGGCATGTGACCGACGCGGGCACCAGAGAAGCATATTCGCGATGACATCATGATATGTATAGAGAGAGCACCCAAAAGAGAAACACCAACTATAAAAGGCATTATCCAGTTCATGAACCTCAGGGTTGTTGCTGTAAAATCCTAAAAATAGAAAAGGGGTGTAGTTCTACGCCTTAAAAATCGCACGATTTTTCAAATAATTGCTCAACCATACTAAAACAACTGAATTTGAAGTGTAGATGACATGCGGCCCAAGAACAGCAATATATGAAACATTGACTAATACGTATACACTAGTCACCACGACAAAAGCTATAAAAATCGCTCGAGGTAAATTACGATATGGATTCTTCAGTTCTTTAATCAAGAAGTTCAAATAGCTCCTGTGAAAAAAAAAACGATGAATGAGCAATCGTAACAAGGTAATTCAAGGTTCATTACTAAATTAATCAGTTTTTCATCGCACTTGCACGCAAATCGTGTAATCGGTAATAATAAAACCTTCGGGCCTTTTTTCTCCTCGTTACGGTAATGAGAAGAAAAGAGGCCTTAAGATTTTATTTGGGGTATTATAGTCAAGTTAGCGTGCATGAAAAACATTGTATGTTTCGCGGACGGCACAGGAATCACAAACTCGAATCCGAAAGCTAATTCTATTTTAATTCTATTCTAATAGAGTCTCATTCGTATCACACAATGTATCTACTATTAAAATAAATTTTACCATCCAACATAAGAGAAAACTCCGGCGAAAAACGCTACAGCCCATTCACTGACCGAGGCTTTCGTTCCAACCCAACCATCCGTTAAGAATTTGGACTTTCCTGTAATACTACAAATCATAAATACTTGCAATAAACACTTTTACACTAATAGTATTATAATACTTTCACTATAATAGTTAGATACCTAAAGCAATCCACACAATTCCTGCAAGAATAATGCAGACGAGCACAACAAATAACATAATAATAAGAATGTTTTGAAAACGTGTCGTGTGCTTCGCATTATACGCATTTACAAATGTCAGAAAACCTGAAAATGTTTACGTACGTATTTAATAATTTATAGCTTCTCTAAAATACTTCAAAACATAAAATCTACGCGGCGTGCAACAATGTGCAAGCAGCGGGGCAGTAATTGAATAATTCTACTGTGAAAGGAATCTATGATTGGGACCAACCTACATTGATGCACGTACTTACAACCAGACAAATTGTATCTATTGTAATGTCTATCTTCAACCAACACAAACAACTAAGAAACTATACATTTTGAATTTTCTCTTACGGATATGGCTGTCCCGGATTACTTACAAATACTTATAGCAGCCACAAGCTTTTTACATAAGGGGTCTATAGGGCAAGTGAGGTATAATGGTTGCAGGACTGTATTTGCAAATGATAATGCCATGATTGCATTTGTACTAGGTCTGAAATTGAACAAAATGTGCAAATAAATAGTCATAGTGACCCCACAAGGACTACATACATGCACTATACTATCCTGTGTGTAAAAGCGGCTTCTCACGGCCCGTGACACGTTTCGCGGCCTGCGCCACTCGTTTCTTGGTATCGATTCATTTTGGTAGCAATTTTTTGTATCGATTCATTTCAATGTAGTTTTTAAATAAATCGATTCAACATTAAGGCGAATCGAATAGTCTAGATCGTAATCTTAATTTAAACAAAACAATCTCTTTCTGAACCCCTATTTCATATTGGCCTGTTAGAAAAGCAGTTTGGCACCATTTAAGTAAGTCTACAATATTTGGCGATTGTGCAACTTCTGTGCCATCACAGACAAGAACGTCTTTTCTCACTGGACATTATATCGTTCTAAATGAAAGTCGTATTGTTCGTAAACGACTGAAGCCAAAAAGGCTGTAAAATTATTATTTTTATCGAAATTAATGTTGAAACGATTTGAGATCTATTCAAGAGCATACGATCCGACGTGAGGATCAATTCAGAGGCATATGATAAATTACGATCCAAAAAATCGATTGCATCGATGCAAAATATCGTGCGTCCCTCCTGTTGAACTCCACACGTTCGGAGCGAGAGCACGCGTGGCTTATATCAGCACCACGCGCTTCGGCCCGAGCTCGCCCATACCACAACTTAGGCAGTGAAGAATTGACAAGTATAGTTTTAAATAAATCTAAGCTTATAATTACAAAAGGTTATGGTCAATGGTCAATACAAAATGCAACACGTACATAATGACAAAGACAGCATCCCAGAGGTACAAGAACGCAGGAAGTGTCCCGTACGCTTCGTATATGTAATCATAATCTCCTCCGCCGCGGGCGAGAGTCGTGCCTGTGCGAGAGAGCCAAGTTGCGCGATGCATAAATAAAGTTTGTGACATTTTACGACTGCACAGAAACAGCATTTATTATCTAGGCTGTTTTTAACCTAAAAATCGTATCTAGTTTCGTGATCTATTGAATTCTTGGTGTAGTCTCATGGAAACTCAGATGTTGATCTAGATTTACTACTTCTATAAAATGAAATCTTTCATTAACAATCAATGTCTTTATCCACCTTATACAGGGTAAGGGAAATCATGTGCCTATATTATTGGTGTGTTGCTAAAATCCAGGCGATAAGAGGCTATATAAAATTGCTACCTAATTCCGCATAACAGAAAGCTCCTAGAGCAGCTAACATTCCGCATAGTGCCCATATGATGATTGATCCCCAAAACGATCCTGTATTAACTAATACTTCTTTCGGAGTGATGAATATGCCACATCCAAAAATTACTCCCATTATAACGGCCACTCCTTCTAGTAGGCTGAGTTCTTGAGATAAGCTTTCTTCGGGCATTGTTCTCTGGATCAAGTATTTTATAAATTATTAAGTTCTTTGAAAAACTAAAACTTGTCACACTATTCATTAACGGTTTTTTCTTTTTTAATATTTCCTTATAGACAAATTGTTGCTTTTACTATTTTTATCTATTTACATTATTCTTTTAGCAATGGTTTAAATGTTCGTCTATTATTTATTTAGACTATGGAAACTTTTTCCTTCCTCTAAGGCTTAGACTATTTTATTTTTTTCCATCCTCTAAGCTCTAAGGTTATTTATACGAATTAATCCAATTTTCATTTTGCTCCATCCTCTACGAATTTACGTGAAGATGAATGATCAACCAAGGAATATTTTAAAAAGGAGTCACCAATATATTATAATAAGTTTTCTCGTTCAACCAACTCAATACAAGAAACATTGAAATGAAATGCAATGTAAACCCGCTTACACACTTTCGGACACATAATTCGAGCCACCACGCATTTTCGGTATTAAGTGCCCTAAGCTTAAACAATGTTTGATTGATCAAAAACAATTACGCAATTTCGAAACTAGAAAAAAAAGTAGTATCACCGCTCGATAAAAAAGCAAGTTTTTTCACAACCAAATATGCCACTTCCCCAACAAAAGTACTGATTGCACATCAAAAGAAAATTAATTTAGTATTATGTACTAAAATTAGTGCATAACATTTTATCACAATGTATATCTAACATCTAAATACATATCTAATATTTCTGGCATACAACAAACGTATGACCACAAATTTATGAGAAAAAGCACACCTATTTCACTAAAAGGTATCAAGTCTATAGGAATGAAACACCATTTTATTTGACATAATGGTCTAATTGTACAATTTGCCCAAAACAATAAGATCAACAAAGAAAATTAAAATTGCACACAAACATTGCAACAAAGTCTAATGCTTGAAAATCGTAATATTTTTTTTGTATTTGCAAGTAAAGGTTCAATTTAGTTCCATTATTATGAATTGCTTACAGGAAAATCAGCTCCAAAGTTCAAAATAAAAAGCAGAAAATAATTTAAAAAAATGAAAATAACTTTTATTAACCTTTGCCCAGCAGTGGGACTTAATGGGTTAATATTAATAATTAAATAAAAACTTTTATTGTTAGAGGTCATTTAAATTGATGTGCAATCAGTATTTTTGTTATAATAATAATAATAAACATTTATTTCAGATAATTGCATCCATATTATTGTTAGTAACATTGGGTACTTACAACTATGTTAATTAATAATAATAATGATAATTATGTATACCATATTTGTGTTAATAAATGAACAGTGTACACTGAGAAATTAGCAGAGGTCTAGTTTTGACACTTGTTTTTAAATTATTTTGACACTAGTTTTGTTAGACAGTTGTTTTAATAGTAGCCATTGACCTACATTGTAGCGAAATATTTTTTTAGATGTCAAAATTATTTGAATAATGAACATAATTTTTCTGTTAAGCACTTAAATATTTCCCGAAAACTAAACGTCTTTTCCAGACCTTGTTGGGAATTTCGATTTACAAAACCGGGGGAAACGTTTTCTTCGATGATAACACTATTTTTGTATTCTATCGTCCGGATTCGCTCTAGGCCTTTTAGAGGGAAAAGTGTCGTTTTTATTTTGACTTTCAATTATTTTGTGAAATCTAGTTTAAAGTGGAATAGGATAGCGCTATTGTGCCTTAATCGAAGATTAAAACGCGAAATTATACGAATCTCGAGCTAAAATACCCGTATCGGCCCGTTCTAAGGAATCCCGAGTCAATCCAATCACGCCGCCTCAAATTGCCTATCCTCTTTGTGGTGGCCATATTTACAGAAATATAATTAAACGTTTATGTTTTCGGCTGAAGGTCTTTGTTTCCATGGCCAGAAATAATTTGAAAAAAAAATTCTATCGTACAATAACAACTTTTTGAAAAGTTGTACCTAGTTGAACTAATTGGAATATTTGTGTCCGATTAGTCCAACTGATTGAACTTATAGTTGTACTAAGTGGAATATAGGACAACAATTCAAGATGGCTCGAATTGTGTCTGGGAGTATATTAAAGGTTCGTGTGTACCCTATCACACAGCGTTACAAACTTATGTTCTGTTTTACGACAATTTGTAATCAAAATCTGCTGACTTTATTAAAGTAAGTAAGTGTGCTATGACAATTTTGGAGTGGTTTCTGGGTCAGGATCAGGATAGTACTGCAGCAAATCTGCTACTGGTGCCTCTTGATCTTCATAAAAATCACAAGCCAACAAATACTCTCGTTTGGAATAGTCGTCTCCTTTACAGAACATGTCACCTGAAATGAGTGGGTAGATACAGTTAAAATTTCAGCAGAAAGCAGGTTTACAACAAATGTCAATATTGTACTATACACTATACTCATACCCTCTATGTCCATGACTTGAACAGGTTTTCTTGATTCTAGGGCGCCAACGCAATAATGTTCTTCAGTCAGGTCAGGATGCCAATACATAATAGCATCCCTGCAAGACGTTCCAGCGATAGGGAGTAGAATTCTATCCTGTTAAAATAATTAATTTTTTCATCACACGTCATCGTAAACAGTGCTATGACATGCAGGCAAAGACGACCGTAATGTCCTAAATTATGCCCACAGGCTTCTTTTACTCATATTATGGTTTTTTGCATCAAGTTTAAGCAAAAAGTTTCTATGATCGACGAATGTGACCGTATATTTTCAACGACATACATATAAATACTTTCGCAAAAATTTAAGTATGAAATTTGCAATTATTCTTCAATTATTTCACGGTTTTATTAAATTTATGTTGCGAATTTTAATTTAAAGTTATTCAATTTTATATCATTTCGTAAGAAGCACTATCGAAGACATTTTGTAATTAAATCCACGAAAGAAAGTACTTTCAGTTATGGCTGGCGCGTTAGTGCCTTTGCCTTTTCCAATGGAAAAAACCAAAAAAACAAAAAACCCGCCATTTGCAAAATCCGTAAATGTTGTGTTGTGAACGATGTGAAGCGGATTCGCTCTGGGCCTTTTGGAGGGAAAAGTGTCGTTTAATTTTGACTTTCAATTATTTTGTGAAATCTAGTTTAAAGTGGAATAGGATAGTGCTATTGTGCCTTAATCGAAGATTAAAACGCGAAATTATACGAATCTCGAATTAAAATACCTGTATCAGCCTGTTTTAAGGAATCCTGAGTCAAACCAATCACGCCGCCTCAAATTGCCTATCCTCTTTGTGGCGGCCATATTTACAGAAACATAATTAAACGAAGACATGGCTCAAAGGACTTGTATCCAAGCCAAAGTTATTAATAAAATGTGTAGGAATATTTATTCATACAAGATTTGTAAGTCAATGCATACAAGAAACAAAAGTATCGTTGTATCTATTTCCACACAAATGTGATGAAAAACATTGTATGTAGCACGGGAGGTCAACATTACAAATCTCGAAACATAAAGCCCTCAGCTTCCGGCTTCGGGCTTCTAACAAACTCTCGATAGTAATTTTTATTTACCACCCTGCTATCTGTCGCACCAAAAAAGTCCGATTTTTTATTAACTACGTACCTTACACAAGATCTTGTTATTAACAATTGGTTCCTTAACTTCACCCGTGCAGAAGAACTTCCTCTTTTTTCTCACGATGACTGTACTTATTTCCAACACTGTTTTGATACTATTGCCCTTTTCACCATTTATGGCTTCTAGCTCTCTTAATCCTCTGGTCTGGGTTTCTCTACTGTTCAGTTGCTTCATGTGATCTGCTAATCTGTACATTGCATTGACAAACTCGTCGATGGGTCCTAAAATTACAAAAACATTTAAAAAAATCTTATAATCAATGTACGACTGAATAATGAAAATTAAGTAAATTTTACCTGTCCCAAAGGAGCCACCATCGAGGTAGTTCAAGAATTGATAAAATCTTAAAGCCTCGTCAGATTCCATTTCGTCCATAACGGGTCTCTGTTGACCAACTTTAGATGAGTAAATGAAATAATTAAAGCTAGAGGGCTGTCATTTAACTGCCTCCGTGGTCGAACGGTTACCATGCCGGACTGCCACGCAAAGGCCCCAGGTTCGATTCCCAGGCCGGGAGACATTTGTGTAGCCTACATCTATTTCTGTCGTGAGTTTCAGTTCAATTTGTGGTCGTCTATGTGTTTCCATGGCACCCGCGACACAGGGTTTCCCCAGTGCGGGGCTATGTTGAGTGTGTGCGTTATTATTATTATTGTCATAAAAGCAATTAAATTTGTGTAATGCAATTAAGTAACGATCAATATATCATATAAATACTTACAAATTTCCCACTCCATGCTCCCACATCAGAATACAAAGAATTTACTCTACTCGGCATCCAATCCAGTGATGAGCGTGTAACCAAAATTGGATGCTGAAACAAACGTATAAAGGTTTTCGAATATAGAGTAAATACAAAATACTATACAAACAGGGATTCTTGTAGTTCTTGCTGATCCGTACTGTTACAGTTACCCGCCAATTGCTCTTATGAGATAATATTGAAAAAATAACATTTTAGCGTTCTAACCAGAGATTTAGTGTGGACATGTTCAAATTGAACCAGGAGAAGCAGTCCTAAAAGTTTTAAAACCGACATTGCGGCAGTTGCTGAAATGGTTGGTTGTTAACGGAATTTGCAGTTATACGTTTAAAATCTTTGTTTTTATTTTTATTGCTTCGTTAGCAAGTTTTTTTATAGGTCATTAATATTGGTTCTGATTGTACTTATACTTTGTAACGATCTAGTTTGTGGTATGTAGTTAGTTATACAAATACAATGCAATACAAAGTTAAGAAAACTCTTGCATCGTAATTTTCCGAAAAATTTTAAATAGATAGTAGATAGATAGATGTGAATTTTTTTCAGAAAAATGGAAAGAATTGGAAAAAATTGGAAAATATAATTCGAAGGTTTATATTAGAATGTTCTTCATCTAAAAATATTTTTTGAATTTTTATTTAGCATGAATTAAAAAGCAATAGCTCAAAGCAAGTTAGAGAAAATCTTGAAAATCGAGATTTAAAATGATTGAAAAACAGAAAAAGTAATGATAGGTAAAAAAATACAGGAAAAATATTCCGAAAAATATTTATTTTTCTGGTAAAATTATCAAAATCGAAATTTTTCCATAACCCAGCATTACTTACTTAATGATGAACGCTAGAATGAATGATTCAACAATTGACTTCCATCAAAAAAAGGATAAATGTGAATGGCCCATATTTATGCTCATTGGATCCGTCAGTCTATCAGCTCAGCACCTGCAGCAAGGTTACAGAATCCCTCCTGCATCTCATGATATACAATCACTATGTATCCGGGCCGCTAAAAAAATTACCAAAGTCATCTTGAATGACAGCCGATAAATGTCAAAAAATTGCAATAGATGCCATCCGTTCTTCGTCTGTCATTGTCTAATTATTGAATATGTTAGCTTACGTTTTCCATTTAATTAAAAAATAGGTCGAAAGCGTATTTGTGGATTGATATTATTAATTTTATTGTGATCAGTATTTTGTAATTACATAAAATATGCACTGACCATTTATGGAACACAGTGTTTGTTATTATTTTACGTATTGTGCGAGTTAAAGTTTTGGAATGCGAATCTATTATTGGTGATTAGAAAAACGAGATTGCATCGTATGTTGTCGTTGCAAAAACGTAATAATGTCTCTTAATTTAGAGGTGTGTATGCAATTCTGTTGTTCATAACTCGGTGGCATTATATTGCACTGAAACGGGGAATTTTATTCACGTCGCTTAACACTCATCAATTGGTAAAAACGAGGGGCGTTACACGAACTTAATACTTCATATTAATCTGGTGCACTATCTTTTCTATTAATATTGCTTGTCATTTACAGTATTCATACATTATGGTCATAATATTGATGTATTTCAGACTCCTTGTATGGAAACTTGTTAACAAAGTATATTTATGGTAATTAAACGTAGTTAGTTGATTCTTCGTATCCTTACTTAATCTTTTTACGTCAGTGATCAACATGGAGCGCTTCCCATTGAAGTCTTCTGGGTCTAAAATGAATACTACTTATCAGTCTGTGTATAAAATGGTAAGTAGGTGTTTATTATCTCACACACATGCATTATGTACTTTATTTACCATTGTTCCATTTAATTTTATATCTTTTTATTATTATTATCATGGTATATCAACAGGTGAAGAACTAAAGCAGTACTACTTTTACTAATAACTAAGCCATTTTCAAGGGATAAAAGTTGTCAGTTCTCAGTAATAACAGTCATTTTAAGGCATATCAATAGAAAATAATAAAACTTCATTATATAAATGAGTAATTGCATAATGGCATCACTCCTGAATAGAATTATAAAAGACAAATTGTCACAGCAAAGAATCATTGTAAAACATGGAAGGTGTTGAGTGCAAATTTTTTTAGTTAACTTCTGTATTTTATGATAGAATGATAGAGACATAAGCTAGCTCTCAAAGTGTGGAATGAGTAGATGCATGCAATAGATACTGAGATAATTGTGCACTGAGTTGTGTGCAGTAACATGTTTACATAACTTTGACTTAATTATTATTATTTCATTAATGGCGGCCACTAGGCATGGAACAGTGTCAGTTTCGATGAATGCAGTTAGTTAATGTTGATCAAGAATGCAAATGTTAAGGCAGCACCCAGGTATTTCATTTTGGATGAACCTCATCAAAGAATTGTTGTTGTGGAGAATATACCTGAAGTGAAAAAAACAATAGACTAAAGCGTAATATTATTAGAGCATATAAAATCACACGAAATGTTAGTAAAGGGAGGCAACACATAAAGAAGAAGGGATTTAATGGTAATAGGACAGGGAGCACAGGAAGGGAGGAGGTCATACAAGGAGGAAGTCAACTTAGGACATTCAAAGAAAATATATGATCAAGGTTATTATTATTATCTTGTTTATGGTGGCCACTAGGTTTGTGCCAGCATCAGATTTATAAGAATAATATAAAAATTATGGCGATCATTGCCAGAGTCAGTATTCATTACTGTTTTACAATTCTCATTTATTAAGGGTATATTCACACGAAGATGTGTGTCAAAATGACCTTCTTCTATATAATGTTATTGTATTTATGAAAATTTGACTTTTCACAAGTACATCATTTTGACAATGAAATACCACAATGATGCACTTCATTACAGTCAGTTATTGTAATAAAAAAACTTTACAGCCCAGTAAAGTTTTGAATACATTTGATAAAAAGATTTTGTTTCTCTATTGATAATTTATAACAACAATTTATAAAGATTGTTGTAATTACACATTTTAGTGACGTTTTCTGCTAACTGACTCACCATTATTTAGCAGAGCTTGAAACCTCCTTTAAAAAAAACCAAGTTTTGATCATGTATATGTTAATTTACCAGTTATTTGGACGACAATTTTTAAAGCGCGCGAACCAGTACTGAACCTAAATAAACCAGTTTATCTCGAGCCTCACGGACGCCGTTGAATCTATTTTCTTTCATTCACTCTCATATATGCTGTGTTTGATTAAGAAAGAGCATAAAACAGGGGGCGCTTTAATTTCCTCCTTGACAATCGACACGTGGGATGAAACAAAACAAGTAAATTTGTAACAACAGACGATAAATATCGTATTTTTTGTCGGTCAACATATTATGTGATCAGACAAAATCGAGTAAATGTCGATTGTCACAAGATGGCACCTTTACATTTTTTGCGGCCGCACTCTCGCTCCTTTCTCAGGCAAGTCACATGAAGACATGTAACGAGAGAGAGAGAAAAATGTAAAGTCGCACGAAGGTTTATATTATAGCGCGCAACTGTTGATTTCATTAACAGATTGAAAGAGTGTTTTCGTCGACTCTAAAATTGAACTTCGACACACGCTACTCCGACAATTATGTTACATCGACATGATTTTACTCAGACATTACGATACTCCGACAATATATTACTTCGACATTACTTTACTCAGACACTACGCTACTCCGACATCACAGACGAGATGTTTCTTAAATAAACCTTGAGAACTCTGATAAGAAAAATCATTATTACAAACCCATATTGGAAATGGTTTCTTATTATATATCGATCAGACGAGTCGTGTGTTGTCGAAGTAGCGTAGTCTCCGAGTAAATTCATGTCGATGTAACGTACTGTCAGAGTGGCGTAGTGTCTAAGTAAGTAATGTCGAAGTAATATATTGTCGGAGTAGCGTGTGTCGAAGTTCAATTTTAGAGTAGTTTTCGTCGCCGTGTAACCACGCCATTGGGAGTGCGATGTGCAGTACTTTACTCGGTTTACCATTCATTATTCTCAAGGCACTTGTTGACCTTAATATTATGAGAACCTATAACTATTTTTTCAGATCTGAATCGCGTGTATTTGTTTTTTCAAACAAACAAAGGTTTCGGAACCTTTAGAAGTACCATAGTCACGGCTGACTGTCGGCTGTGACGTAAATAAATACAACCATGATTTAGACCCGAAAACGTAGTTTCATTTCCTATTTGTAACAATAGTGAAAACCTAAGAAATCTATATGAGTAGAACTAAGCTACGGTCGCGTTTTATACCGATTTTATTAGCATAAGAGCTCTTTGTGAAAGAGGTCCAGGGAAATCCTGGCGAGCACTAACGGGAGCATTACTGCGTTCCGGTTTTGAAGGGTAAGGGTGCTGGTGGAATTACAAAACAATGAGACTTGTCAAGTCTCAGGGTGACGGGCTCAACGACATTCCCCCACAGAACTTCTCAGAACTTTGCGATTTGAAGCTCTTAGTGGCACGGCAATTGTTATGGGATCTTACCGCCTGACACACAATTGTTCTTCCGTCATAAAAAAAATACCCTCTAACGCTTTTAAGATATTTTAAATCAGAATGACTGTCGATAATTGACAAACTAAAATGAAGTACACTCAATATTAAGAGTATGCAACTTCAAATGGCTTTAGTTGATCCCGCGTAACAACGAAAAAATATATAGGTAGTAAAATTGGGGATAGACACTCATTACCATACGGTTACGATTCCTAAAAAAAAAAATCATGATACATAAAATTACAAAGTTACCTCTAAAGTTTACGTTAGATAGATCAAACATGAACGCTGTAAGGGCATAGCAACGTCAATCCTAAATTCTAAATAAATCTAAATTTGAATTTAAATTTATTCGATAAAATAAACAATTACACAAAATACAAATTATTACTAATCGTCTACAGTAGCAAGCTCATTATAGTAGTTTATCGTCAAGTTATTTAGAATTTTATAATTTCATTTAATTTCTCAATTTCAAAATTTATTATTATACATATATACCTACACATTAATAATTGTACATTTATGTGTTACAGCAATTTTAATTAGATGGTAACAATTATTTAGATGACAATAACAATTTCTTATCCATTTCATTTTATTTATTCACTTATTAACTGCACGGTTGCAAACGCTACATCAAGCATAGGTACATAGAAAAACGTATGGACCCTGCAGGGCACGGCAATATAGGAATGAGGCAGAACCACGCTACAGAAATTTATCGTCTAGATATTGCTGCAATGTATAGTAGTTTTTATTAGTAAGAATCTTTTTTAAATTATTAATGAATATGTTTGTTTTATTTTCTTGTTCTATGTGCTCAAGCAGTTTGTTGTATATTTTTATTGACATTGTATATGGGCTCGAGTTATGCAATTCCAATTTTGATACCGGTACTACAAGATTATTTCCGTATCTTGTTGTATGGCGTCGGGGTTCATCTTTCAATTTAGTGTAAAATTGTGAGTACTTTTTACAAATTGCAAATTTCCAAAATGTAAATTGATGTTAGAGTTAAGATTTTGTATTTTCTAAAGAATGGTTCACAGCTCTCTGTTCTCGGAATATTTGCTAGTATACTAATGCAGTTTTTTTGTTTAATAAAGAGGTCGTTTACAGTTGCACTATTTCCTCACATAATGATGCCGTATTCCGTACTCCGAGTAAATTAAATGCATTGACGGTTTCTATTTTTGTTTGATTATATGAAAAATTAATATTTAGTGATGGTTTTTGATATGGTTTCGTTTGTAAAAAAATTGATTCTGAAATAAAGCGAGTGTCGCTCCTGCCGCTCGACCCAAGCAATATGAACCGTATTAATAATGCTTAAAATTTGGTTTCGCGCTGGTAGTATCGACTCTTAAATAAAAGAAACACGGAGTCGTAAGTCTGTTAACAAGTAGTCCAAGAATTGAATCCTGTTTGTTAAGCCTGTTGCCGCCGCATGTGTCACATCAGCCACAGACGTGTGACTTAACGATCCACTATGAAGTGCATACATAAATCAAGCGAAAATCCACAAGTTTTACATACGATCACAACACCACGACTTATAAGTTACCTACTCAATCTAATGTTACCGAACGTGAGTGATGAGAGAAACTCAAATTAACCGATTTATATTGTTTGTAGCAAAAGAAACTTGTAAAAAGTTGGTCTTATAAAAATTGATATATCGATTTTCACAATCTGAACCCCAATTATTTTGTTTGAGGTAGACCTTAAACTATTTCATAAATTTTAAACGGTTTGCGAGCTCTGTAGGGTTAGCATGACAGGGGGCGATTTGCGCGAGATACCACTATTTCCGCATAGAGAATTGCAATATATCGCACGCTTTATGTCACTCTCGCGCAAGTAGGTTGGCTGTTTTTTTGAAATCGAGTAATTGTCGATGCTCGATCGATCGGCTCTCGTTCCTTTCGTAAAACATGCGTTGATTTGAAAAAAAATAACTTTAATGTAATATTCATTTGAAGTTATCAAATAACTATACGATCACACCCTGTAGAGGTTGAGTAGATTTCATTTGTTTAAAACGGTCCGTGAATTCTACCAGCAGAATTTTCAAAATAGATGCCGGATATGATATACATTTTTTTTCCTGGCACTTCGTGATGTAGTTTTGTATTCCAAAAACGGGGAAACTTAATCTGTAACAAATCAATAACTAGTTACAGAATTGAATGTCCCGACATTTCCAATATTGTACAAGTTAGAGCACATTAAGGTTGACACTTTCGAGTTTGGATTCGGCGGTTAAGGGTTTTCTTGACGTGGCAAGCAGGAAAAAAGGAAGTTTTTTTTTATGATAACAACAAGTGACTGGACGGGACGAACTTGTCGTGCGCCTGGTGGTAAGCGACACACCTATCCATAAATGTGGCTGTGCCGCTAAGATCTGAGGGGCACTGTCACTGCGCTCATCACCCTGAAATATAAGTTGCAAAGTCCCATGTGACAGCACCCTTAGGGAGTCATCAAACTTATTAAAGCGGAATCGCTTTGATACGATCGTGTTTAACCACCCTTGTCGCAATAAGAGACCCTCCACACTAGCGTATTTCAAGCGTCAGCATTGGGCGACTGCGGAATAGTGCCGAACTTTGGGTATACGCTGTGGCCGCTGTACGTGCGTTGGCAAGACGCTAACTCTCAAAAGACGCTAGTGTGGGGGTCTCTTAGCCGATTTGCCGTTGACGCTCTAAACCCGGGGCCCTCTTGAAGCACGAAATCTGTTAATGACCTACGGAACTAATCTCGAATGCCATCAACGAAAAGACGGTCCCATTCGAAACTTAAATCACCTTGTCATGCATTCCTAGTTCTAGCTCAGATCGAAACTCAAGTCTTTAGGTCATACATAGTGGGAAAACGGCGGTAATTACGAATTTCGTGCTGAATGAAAAGTATAATAGGATTATATCAAAAAGGATATGCTGCGGCTGCTCACGCACAACAACTTTCCTAATAACTTAACCCCAATTTATCCAAGTCTTGGATTCGTAAGTCTCCTTCCATGATATGGTCTTCGTTATGCGACAGTTGGAATATTTCAAGATGTTTTTTATCTTGTTTACTATTGTCAGGACATTTATCTGTCAGGCTAAAATTTCGATGTGTAGATACTTAAGTCATAGTAATATAATAATAAGATCGGGGTTTTGATTTCGCCCCAGGGGGTCAATCCTCAAACAAAATCATATAATTTAGAAAACAATTCATAAGCCCGCCACCCAGTGCTTGCAAAATGATAGACGATAACTGTAATGTGCCGAGCACACCGTGTCGGCCACGATACTCTATAGTATTGATTTTTGCTACCCCCTCGCCTCCATCTTTGTTTCATTGCAATACGCCGAGCCGTTTTCAGTTAGTGTATCACTACTCTCTCTCAAGTTCCAAGTGGTGTTTTAAATTCGTATTCCATTATCATATTGCTCACACAAACCTATCGATAAAGATCGTGTATTTGTGAATCACCTTTATGGTCCCAGTGAAGTATAAACTAGGTGTGCTTTGTTACATTTTGTGATATCGCGAATGAAAATATTATTGTTAAAAAATTAAAGTGTTGCTTTAGACGTGGTTCAATTTGTGAATGCAAGTATTGTGTAAAGAAATTACATACATCACGTGAATGTGTTCACGTTGTGTGTGCCACCTGCTTCCAATGACACCGCGTATATTAATATAAATTTAATGGCCCCGCGTAACCTTATCTTAGTTTATCTTTACGACAGTCTTTGAAACTTAACTTACAGCACAAACGGCAAAGTCCATGGGATTAAAAAAAAAACGAAATTTATTAAAATAATTACACTTATTTCAATGAACGAGTTGCTGTCATCAAACTTTTTACCTATGTTATCTACTGTATGTTCCACGTAATTGGGTTCCATATTGCATGCCTTGAAATTGCACTTATTCTATGCGTGTACAGCATGATATCCACATGAAACGTAAGGACGAATTGAAGGAATATTAACTGATAAGTAGTTATAATAAAGATATACGAATTATAAACGCAGGAAATAAGAAATTGCTACGAGGCTAATTATTTCCCTGTCTCATTAAAAATAAATTATTTTTTTCTCACAGGGGACGAATTCCAGTAATGGGCGAGGGGTGCACTCTACAAGCGAAGATGATATGGTGGACATAACTCCAGTGGCCGCGCTACAGCAGGCTGGAGACAGCACCCCCACGCACCACGGCACATTTCAACTCTATGAACATAGTGGCCGAAACTCAGCTGCCAGTGCCAATTGTAAGTACACATTTATTTTAATTACACTTTTCAAATAAAGTTCTGAATTCACCTCAAGGCTTTTTTTTACATGTTTATAATTCTAGCAAATGTTAAGATTACGTTCCAAAACTAGACCCGGACATTACACCTAAATTATAATGATACTTATTGTTTTTTTTTTCAAGCATACATCGCTCAATACTTCAGTTCTTCCACCGGTAAGGGTCAGGAATTATTTGATAGCGTTTCCATTCTCTGTGTACATGATTCCCTAACCGCTCATATGTTTCTAATTTGTGTATACTTGAAATACGTACATACCGCATAGTTATACTCCGTCCTACTATTTATTTAACGTTTGACGTATGTTCTTCTTTTTTATTTATTAGTGGCTTGTTCTGTGTCGCACAATTCCGCCAATGTCACGTAGGTTGCCTCTACACGGGAAGAGTGGATTTATTTTTAATATAATTTTGACACTTACTGCTGTCTGTGAGTCTCGAAGCGGGTTTATCTAAAACAAAGCACACCGTTGCAACATCACAGGACAACACAAATAGCCTAAGTAAATCAGGGTTGTTAGTAAATATTTTAGATAAATTAATGAATTTTGGTTGTACATGGTTATAAAAAGAAGTTAAAAATAAAATTGGGATAGACAAAAAAAATCCAATACCTCCTGGACTCTTTTATTTTTAATTTTAGTGGAGGGATGAGCTCTTTAGGTCCGATATTTATCGAGTCAACATATAACGTAACAAAGTTTATTCAAGTTGATAAATTTTCGTACATACCTGTCTTATAAATTATAAATAATACTAATAAAGTCTTGTTTATTATAATGAATCATCGGATTATTCTCCATATGAACGGGAATCATCATTTGATCCTTATTAACATTAATTATTAATTCTTGAGTAGGTACACAAATTGTCAAACGCTACATCACAATCTCAAACAGGAATTATTTCTTTTTTGATTCCGGTCACATTCACTATTAAAACTTCTTCATAAATAAAATCGATTGTTATAAAAAAATCGAATCAGAAACGCATTATGACTTCACTAATTGATTATATTATAGAATTCGAGCTGTCAAAAGTTAAATAAATGGGTGGATGGAGTTACAGTATATTAGCTTTTTGGATTCCTAGGATTAAAAAAAAATTACCTTCAATAGTACAGTGGAAGTACATTGATATCTACACTTAACACTTACATCCTAATTATTATTTTATCGTTACATTCAATTTGTTCTTTTCTCCCTGTATATTTACGTTGTAATATTAAGACTTCTGTATAATTTAAAGCAAGCTGTGTTTCACCTTTAAACAGCGGTGCATCTAGGTAAACACCCTTACCAATATAAAATGTATATGTATCGATGTAACAATTGCTGATGAACATCAATAAAAAGTAATAAAAAAAATATTCACATTATTAGAGAAAAGATTCCTACAGTGAATTGATAAGGTTTTCCTACATTTGATTTATTTATCCGGTAGCTTACAAGTGATTGCAGTGTAACTTCTCAAAGGGCGCTTCTCGGAATGCATTTGTTTTTGACCAGTTGTGATTAGTCCACATGTCGCAACTCCCATCAGCCTAGCATATCATAACTTGCACTAATTTACATCAACAACGCTTTCATTTGTTTTTAACAAAAGGAACGCCAGCGCTTTTTATTGCGACAATGCGTAGTTTCTCATACAAAATGCCTGACTGTTTTGTCCGACGAAGTAAGCAGACCACCGCCAAGTTCCCTTGCCACTGTAAAATACTGCCGACTGCGCTATTATCTCATTTACTCTTATGGAAAAAATGGCAAATCAAGTCGGTTGAGATTGAGTTATGAGGGAGATAAAAGTAATTAGTCAATCATAGGTGCAAGTAAGCAAATTAGATTGTCTCGTCTCTCGTGTGCACGCGCTAATATCATATATCATATTATGGCTTTAATAGCATAGACTCTTTGACGAATTTTCTGGTCAAATCTTCTCCAATCCAACTTCTCCCTTGAGAGTATTCAATATTCGCCACTGATGACTGGTTTTAAATTGCGTCACGCATAACGTGACTATTTGTTGTGAAGAGTGTTTTTCTCTCAGAGCGGGACTAATAAAATATAGTTCCGAAACAATTAATGACAAAAAATATACAAAAATAACCAAAATTGTTTTATGAATCAAAATTTAAAAAAATAACTAATCTTGTTTATTGTTATGTGTGTTCTATTTTGTGATAGCGGAACACTTTTAAGCATTTTAGGGGCAGCGGGACACGAAGCCTAATAGTGTGAGTGTCCCGCTCAAAGCGTGACATATATAGGTCACGTTAGTCATGCAGATCGTCGAAGTTCTAGATGAAATGAGACTGTGATTGATGATAATAAAATAATTTGTATTTGCAATGATTATCAAAAATTAAATATCGTACAACGCACAAATATGCACTATCGATCAAAAGCGTTATCTTGTTGTACAGTTTTCGATTGATTAGATATCCTTCAGTGAGTGTCTGGACTTTCAAGAGGTCGCAAGTTTGGTGGTAGTTTGTGCTCAAAATTATTTTACCAGAACATTTTTAATTATGGCGGCTGTTGTAGAGAACAACGAATCCGAACCGCTTGTGCCTACGGTAGATGTAGGTATAACTTGTTTTTTGTAAACTTTCTAGTGATATTGCTTTATAAGAGAATGGGAAACTAACGTTTTGCGGTGTAGCCACAATAGTTCGAGACTCCTTATCAAGTCATTAACATACAAAGGTGGGAATTTGAAAGGTCGTAAGGGACATTTTGTTGCAAGGGACATTTTTCATTTCAAAATTCGATACATCAGCAAAATTGTTACCCTTATATCGACGATGGAAATTTAAATAGTCTGAAGCGACATTTCCCCTTCCGACGCAATGTCCCGGGCGACATTTAAATATTCCACCATACAATCTGGAAGCAGCGAAACGAGATCTACAACTTATAAGCAGTTTTTGTAATATCTTATTAAAATTAGCGTAATTGAGATTTTTTTTAAGTGACAAAGTGATAATCTCGATTTTTACCGAAATGTAAATGCGTTAGATATGACGAGGGCAGAGTTACAGTGCCATTTAAATCGTTATATCGCAAGGACCTGTGTAGGGGCACTGGTACTGCTTGGCGGCAGAAAAAAGGATGGTGGCAGTACGAAATCTTTCACACGCAGATCTTCAGCTCCTAAATTTCATTGCACTAGGCCCCTAGGGATGTGGTACATAAAAAAGTGTCACGTCGACGCCTCAGATGACCTCTACTAATTTCGAGTGACATATTTCGCACGAAAGCACGTGATGTTGTCGTCACAAGCGATTACGTTGCTTGCAGGTTCAAGGTGATGCTTCGTACAACTCGTTTTTATTTTCTGTTCAAAACGAATTTCCTCGTTTTCTGCTCAAAATAACGAATAATTTAATTTACAATAATTACGAGTATGTGTCAATATTCATACGACTTAATAGATAAACGGTTCCTATCGCTTTATCTAAACGTTAATCCACACCTTTATGCAAACGACTGATGTTCCATAAAACACCGTGATATGTAATTTAACTTCACCTATTTCTTAAAAATACTACATTTAAAAGTTTATTACGAATATTACATACGGACAATATGAGACAGACTTTACCTGCGTAGATTTCTGCTGTGTTTACGGTAAGAATAGTAAGTCTATAATGTATTTCAAACATATTTACTGTTAACATTGTGAGCACGGCAGATTTACGCACTTTCAGAGATGATTTATTGCATGAAATAAATTCCCAAAAAAACTCAAATAGTGAGTTCTACTATGCGCATCACAAACTGTTCGATTTCGCAGGGTAGCGTGCTGGGATGTGTGCTCATTTTGATATACGTAAACGACTTGCCGTATACGTTGAATCTTTATGTGTTATGTTCGCCGATGACATATTATTACTGTTTAAATGTCAAAATAATAGCCAGAGATGGGGGGCGACAATAGATAATTTTAAATCGGTGAATAGTTGGCTGACTGAACATAATCTCGAAGTTAATCTCAAAATAACTAGAATTATACAATTCCGACCTTACCAAAAGGAAAACCTTGACCTAAAATTAGTAACAACACGCTTAAATCTTGAAGGAGTTAGTAAATTTGACCTATTAGGAACCGACCGATTAGAACGATAGACTCACACTTCAACTGGAAAAATCACATTGAAAAACTTAAAACAATTCGCATATGAATGCACTAGCTGTTCTAAAACCTAATTCTGACTTTAAAGCAGCACTGACCGCCTACTACGCATACGCACACTCATGGTTGCGGTACGGTGTTATGCTGTGGGGCCATAGCGCGGAGGCAAACGATGTATTTATCTTGCAAAAGAAGTATCTGCGTATTCTGGTTAATATAGGCCCAAGAATCAGTTGCAAACCATCTTTCAAAAAGAACAAACTCTTGACCGTTCCCTACTTGTATATATTCGACGTTGTAAAGTTTGTGCGACGACGTAATTTAGCCGATTTTAAATTTACACCAAGTTCTCGCCGCAACAACGTATTGGTACTTCCGAAATCAAGATTGGAATTATTTAGAAATAGCCCATATTATAGAGTAGTTAAAATGTATATCAAATACCTCTGCGCATTAGAGATGAACAAAAAGAAAATTTTTTCATTACTAAACTAAAAAAATTCCTAATTGAAAAATTGTTATTACTCAGTAAATGAATTTTTTAATGATAAAGACATCAATTTAAATTGTTAACGGCTATTTTACGATCTAATCTTACATAGATGAAAATGAAATTCGTAATTAAGTATAATGATCTAGAATTAATGTTGAATTGTTCGTATCTATTTATTTTAATTTTTAAATCATGTACTATGTTTTCTTAATTATATAAATTACTGTAAATTCAAATACTAAATTGCAATGCCCGAACAGGGTCCATATACGGTCACTGTGATAGTTATTAAGATCAATTTTATGGCTCAACTCGTTTAGCCTAGCCCTTCTGGTCATTGTCCGCAGAAATTAATTCCTGGCTTCCTAGTTCCGTATCCTCATTGACATTTTTTCTCATAGTTAACTAAGTACTTGATAAAGAACAGGTACACCTTATTTACGTGTAGAACAAATTGCCCCATGTTGGCAAATCCTGCAAATTTGATTGCAGTAGTTCTGTGCTTGAATATGGCAACCCTATTGTGGTTTGACGTTTCTTCGTTGTGGCAAGTGCCAGCTGCTATTGAAATTTCTCTATACCGATGCTTTGAATGTTCTTTTGTTTTCTTGTAATATCGCAACCTAAAATGATAAAAGCGATGTAGTTAATTAGTTAAACAATATTTTATTACCTTTAGGTTGCAGTCATTTAAAAAACATGAATCACTAAAGTGTATTGAGTCAAAATCTACGTGTTTGCCAGTTAATAATCACGATTAATTGATTTTCAGGCGACGCTATTATATTCTCCGGAATGCAAGGTGAGTAGCTGTTTCTATTACGTTTATTTACAAGGTTAAAGCATCTCACGAAACTATTTTGTAAACATAGCTAGTTAGCTAGGCACCTACTGTATGTACCATAGTACTACCGTAAGCAAGATGGAGAGTCCAGGAAAAGAATGATCAAAGTCACTTGAGGAGAACTTTAGGAAAAATCAAATCATTTATTTCTTCGAAAAAAGAATTTTTAATTTAGAAAACTGTTCAATGTTGGTGGAAAAGTTAAGCAAAAATGCTACCTGAAATGGACATATGTGTATGTATATACATATATATATGTATGAGTTATGCAAACAATAAGCAACTCACATCTCGAGTGAAATTGAGTTAGGTATGTAGATAGGTTAGGTAGAACATCAGACATGTCCTTTACCCGCTCACAAAAGATCCTGACAATAAACCAAGCCAAAACGGAGAAAATAAAAGTCCTTCAGGGTACCAACCCTAAATAAGTAACTTTTTAATAGTTAAAAAGAACCATGCTGCTTAACTATATAATGTATTTTTTTAAATATGCTAAATAGATCCATGTCACATGTACTGGTACTGCAGATCTTTAGTGTTTTCATTACGAAAATTAGAACATGGTTCTTGTTAACAAAATAAAAAGAACACACAAAACAATGTTTTCTATTTATTGCTGAATAATATAATAGTTTCCCTATATAGTTCTCAATGCTGCACATAATTCACGTTGTTTGTCTCAAATAACTTACCTATTTATTTCTTCAGGCTGTTTTTACAAAAATCTAATTATCTTGAAAGTGCCATTTTGTGGATTGGTTCTAGTTTGCATAACTATAAAAGTGAATGTTGACATAATGTGTAACCCTGTCTCAAGCATTTTTATGCGCTTAGCGTTTAGCGAATTAGATTTTTTCACTAACTCAAAACATGTTCATAGGTGCCTTTGTTTGTTCTTTCCCTGCACTGGTCATGTGTCATCATCATAGGTGAGCATTTAGCAAAAAGCATAATAAAAAGTTTGCTTTTTAATACAAGCATACATGCACACATATAATTTTAAGTATGTGAGTGTTGCTCAGCTCAATATTTAACTATTTCTTCTTTTACAACATACCTATACTCTAGCTAAATTCGATGTAGAATGTTTAATAACAAAATGTTGCTGAGTAACGAATGATGACATAGAAGAAAAACATTTTTTTCAATTCTCAGTATTAAGGCTCTGTCTGCCCACGGCCTGCTCCCTTAATTGGAATTTAAATAGATAGTTGGGTTATGTCAGTTATGTAGAAGTAATACTTACCTAGCCATTATTATTATGTTTATGAAATACCTATTGATATGTATGATTTAAGAATAAAAATAAGTGTTTGCATCCTATTAATATTTATTGCTATATGGTTGGTAATGGTAGATGAAAAGAAACAAAATTGTAGGATTTTATGTGATATTAATTTACCACATATTATATCATCCAGCATCTATTTCCGATTCTGAACTTGTATTACTACAGAACTCGAATGTTTGCAATCTATCCCTTCAAATCAAAATGTCAATAGGGATGACACAGTTTCACAAATAATTAATTACTGGTCATTTTTATGTCATTTTTAGGTGATTTGAAACTTCTGTTGAACAATATTCATTACAAACATGGCTTCAAGATTTAGTATTATCCATAATGTACTTGAATTTTGTAAGAATATATTGAAATTGTGGTAACTGTGAAAGAGATTGAGATGAAAACCCTAAAAATCATATGTTTTTGTATGTTGACATTTATTCTACATCGAATTTGGCTAGAGTATAAGTGTCAAATCCCACCATCTGTGTTTCCTAAACAAATTAATTTGTCAATGTGTATAATAATGTCATAAATAAAAATAAAGCTAGCATTTTGAAAATAAACTTACCTATCTTAAAACCTTTAATAGTCTACTCTCACTTTTTGCTGCCAACACTATGTTGCAACCTTTTTTTTTTTCAACATAAAGTCTACAGGCTTAAATATTCACTTCACTTTTTATTTTTATGGCTCCATCAATATGAGAACTGATGATTTTGCCAATGTCACAGTCGAAAGAAAAAAAACGAAACAAAAAAAAAAATTTTCGCTAAGCTCTAATAGGACATTAACCAGTGTTGGTAAGTTGGACTACGGGAGTACTCAGTTGAGAATGTAAAACAAAACAGCAAAACAACATTTATAAATATAAATGATTTTGTAAGCTTGACATTTAAAATTGTTTTTAGAGAACAGCACTTTTATAGGTACGCTTAAAAAAATACAACTTATTAACAATTAATAATCAGTTTTTTCCATCTCTAGTCATCTTATCTATATTCTTATTGTAAATGTTTTTGTAATAGAATTTCATTACTGAAATTTTGACACACAAATCACGACACGCCTTTGTAGCTGGAATAAGTATGGAATCAACATGAGTGTTAGCAAAATGTTTGTGCCACAACATTCAAATGTATAAATATATAATAAATATTTAGGGATAATTAGGCAGATATCTCGAGATTATTACAGAGTGAACTCATAATGTGAGAAATGTTAGAAAAAGTGATGTATATTTTAAACTACAAACAGGTTTTGTTATTTTTCTTGTTAGGTATTAGTTACATAAGTAGTTGATGTGACCATCTGGTAGATTCATTTGTTCTATTTATTGATACAGATATATACAATATACTCACGCCCACATTCTACACGTCGTCTGTATCCTCACTAGCTGCTGTATCTGACATTTTGTCATAACTGATTTAGACGTGTTGATGATACACTGAACAAATGTGTATCGTTTGTACGTTTATTACATGTTGTACCTGTTTCTTTGGCAGGGCAGTCGGTATATTTTTAATCAACTTTCTAAAGCGATCATCCTCTACTAATTGTTAAATTTTTTTATGTGTGAATACAACTTATTGATAGACATTGTTGACAAGACTAATAGTTTAAGATGTAAAGTGTTAAATTGCAAATATGATTCCTAGAGAAATTAGTCTTATTATCGCAATAGCAAATAGCAATAGCAAACAACGCCACTCTTGGCAGTTTTTACTTCTGAACGAAGCTTAAGTTAAAATAAAATGTGAATATCACTGAAATTTATGAAATTGACACACATTCAATTATTTGTTATTTATAAATAGAGCATATATTACAAACAATAGCAAAAAATGTTTGCTTACAATAAAGAATGTATAATTATGTGATATTACACAAACATCTCATACATTGCTCTGATCCCAAAGTAAGTAACTAATGCACTTTCTACACAATCGCAAACAACGACGGTACCACAAACACCCAGGCCTGACATAATGTAGAAAAGATACATAGTTTTTCTATATGAATCTGGCTGGGAATGGAACCCTGGACTTCAGAGATGGCGTCACCATGAAAACCGGCGTGCAAGCCACTCGACCATGGAGACCGTCGAAATATATAATAACAATAATTAACGTATCAGACTAATAGCCTCGCAGTATGAAACACTGTATCACGGGTGCAATGGCCATGTATATAGACAATCACAAACTACACCCAAACTCATGTGAGAAATAAATTTAGGCCATACAATTATTTCTCCCGGCCCGGGAATCGAACTCCGCTTCTGCGTGGCAGACCAGCATGGTAACCGTTCTGCCACAAAAGCAGTTATTAAATAATACATGCAGTTTTTTTACTCCCCTTTAAAATTACTCAAAATGACGTGAGCAGTGTTGTTTACTAAGTGGCGCGATGTTAGTTACAACGGCTAATCAGGAGATGGCAACTATGAACATGAAATATGATATTTAAACATTTGAAATGTATTTGAATATGAAATAATTGAAAATATTTTGTACACATCCATTTATTCTTGGCACTTTTGATCTGGCCTTTTTTAAGGGTGTCAAGTTGAGTCGTTTCTTTGTATTCTTAGTAAATTAAACAAGTAAGCTCCGTTGACATTGTTTGTTATTAGCATTTCATATATTTTCCTCAAGTCTATATGTTGGGTGGGCATACAATTTTGAAACATAAAGGTACGTACAGATCTGGCGAATGCACCGCGAACCCGTTGCAAACGTGCATGGGTGCAGTTAAATACATACTAGTGGATGATACTACAAACTTAGAATAATGACGCATAGAAACCTAGCCCGCACACGCTAAGTGAGGCAAATTGAAGCGCTCCCAAAGGGCCTACACGAGCGGGCGAGCCTACAGTGCTCAGGGTCAACTTGCACCGCGAACAGCTCCAGAATTTCATCTAAAAATGACGAAATGTGCGGTAAATGAGTGTAAAAATACGTGAGACAAACAAAATAGATACTAACATCACATTCCACAAGGAAGTAACGCGTTTCAACTTATATTTTTATATAAATATTCAATAAAACCGAAAATTAACCTACTACTAAAACTAGCCTACATGTATTTGATTTTTGCCTCACTTGTGACAGTTCGTTTGATATGAAACTATCATTCTATGCGTTATTATTCTAAGACTACAAACTAGTGGAGTAAATTCACATAAAAAATAATTAAATATCAATTCAATTCAATTCAATAAAATATATGTGTCACGCGTACAGAGAACAGGCGCATTTGCGGCGCATTCGCCAGATCTGTACGCATTCTTATAGTACATCATATCTACCTTCGTAAATGTATAAATAAATTTACATACCTAATAGTGACACACAATATTAAACATTTCAAGTATTTCTACATAACATACCCTTACCTCTAAATTCTGATAAACAAGTTTTGTATTAATATGTTTACTGTTTACAGGAGATGATGATATACCCGGAATCGGGCAATACGATGATTTTCACACTATTGACTGGCAACGTGACATCGCACGTGACCGCATGCGCCACAGATACATTATAAAAAAGCGACAGGACTCTATATGGGACTTGATTAAAGTAAGTTTGCCAGTAGTTCAAGTCCCAACATAACATTGTTACATATTTATTTATTTGTTTCAAGCAGTTGTGACAACAATTTTTGATGATCTTTTGATGTTTGTTACAAAAGTTGTGTGATTACTTAACCAATGTACTCTTTCCCAGGGAGCACATGATGCGTGGTCTGGGTGGGTGTGTGTGCTTCTAGTTGGAGTATGCACTGGTGTAGTCGCCGGTGTCATAGACATTGGAGCATCATGGATGACTGATCTCAAATTTGGTATCTGCCCACAAGCTTTCTGGTTCAATAGAGAACAGTGCTGCTGGTCTAGCAATGAGACCACTTTTGATCATGGAAATTGTTCACAGGTTTGTTCGAATTAATTTTAGTCAGAGTTATTGTAGTTAATAACAAACGCGAGTAATTTGTCTGGCGAATTCATGTCACATAATATCTTAAATTTTGCTACAATCAATAAAAAATGTTATGAATTATGAAGCATTTTGTCACGCTGGCAACACCTAATCAGACAGCAATTGATGAAAACTAATATTCCAGTGGTTAACTTGGCCGCAAGTGTTTGGAGAAAAACGCGACGGGCCTGGCGCGTATATCATTAGCTATCTATTCTACATTGTTTGGGCACTGATATTTGCCGCACTATCTGCATCACTGGTTCGCATGTTTGCTCCCTATGCTTGTGGATCAGGTATGTATAATTCCCTTATAACCGCTCCATATACATGCTAAGTCACTACGAGACTAATCTAATTACTATAAAATTACTTTGATTATATCTATATATAACCATCGGTTGTAATAAGTTCCATAATTTTGAGTGAAGAGATATACAGTGTTTTTTCCTAAATGGGACAGTATGGGGAAGTCCGAAACCATCTGTAAGAACAGTCAAGTCTTTTTTTGTGAAAACAATTTTGGTATAGTCAATTTTTTAGTCAAGTGTAAAAAAAATTATGAAATGTCCAAAATTTTTTTTTCGTACTTATCGACTCACTTTGAAGAGAAAAGGACGAAAAAAAATTGGGTCAGCAGAAGTTTTTCAAATTTCATAAAATATTTTTTTATACAAAATGAATAAAATTAACAATTTTTTTTTATGCGAATAGGTTTAGTTTCTTATAGGGATGACTTTATTGTATCGGAAGAAAAAAATTGGGACAGTAGAAGTTGGTCAAATTTATTAAAAAAAATTTTAATACAAAATGAAAAACACATACCAATTATTCTTTATATACTATAAAAATTCGAAAAATATAATACGGAAAATAGAAGTTGTTTGACTATCGACTATTAGAGTAAGGGAAATATATCCTACTACGGCAATCGTATTATGGGCAGTAGATACGTAATTAAAGAATATGTAGTACATAAAAAGTTCATAAGAAACAATATTATATAGACATTGATGTGGTACTGGTGCCTCAACAAATGGTGTTTAGAAAATGCTTAAAATTTATACCCGAGGTGTCCCAATAGTAGTTATTTGTACTAATCGTTCCTGTACATGTTAGGTATCCCCGAAATTAAGACGATTCTGAGTGGATTTATCATCAGAGGTTATCTTGGAAAATGGACTCTAATCATCAAAGTTGTGGGTTTGATATTGTCAGTGTCTTCTGGCCTGTCACTCGGCAAAGAAGGACCAATGGTTCACATCGCTAGTTGCTTAGGTAAGTGCGGATTTTACTTAGATGTAAATATGTAATGTGCTCGTTATTTTTGCTTTTGTGTAAAGCTCTTCTGGTTCGGTTTTTGGTGGCCTTTTTTAAAATATGGTATTAATTTTGCAGGGAACATTTTATCCTATCTTTTCCCGAAATATGGTCGCAATGAGGCAAAGAAACGTGAGATTCTCTCTGCAGCCGCAGCGGCTGGGGTCTCAGTGGCTTTCGGGGCTCCCATTGGCGGTGTTCTATTCAGTTTGGAGGAGGTACTGTATTTGTTTCACTGTTTATTTACTATAAAAAGCGTATAGATCAAAGATGTGTGACTCGAATGATTTTTTTTTTGCGCCGTCATTGACAATACAAATTTTATTTGAACAGTTCGTTAACCTATATGTTATCCTTGTTTTCAGGTGTCTTATTACTTCCCACTGAAAACGCTATGGCGTTCGTTCTTCTGCGCTCTGATCGCGGCTTTCATCCTGAGGTCGATAAATCCGTTCGGAAATGAGCACTCGGTATTATTCTACGTTGAATACAACAAGCCGTGGATATTTTTTGAACTTATACCCTTCGTCGGTCTTGGAATTATTGGGGTAAGTACCTAATTAATTAAACAACCCTTTCTAGATTTTCTGACTGCAGCTTGAACTTGTAATATGGAGTTTTAAACTTTTTCGCTTATCCATATCAGTTGCAGTGCCACTCAGAGCTTTAAATCCATTGACTTACAATTATATGGACGTCGGGTCCGCGCTAAAAAGTGTCCGAACTTATAGGGCGTTAAAATCGTATACAGAGCGTCATTCACGCTTTAGTCTTCGTTTGTTCGACTGACAGCGAAGCCAGCAAAATTAGACAGTACTGCGATGACATTACAATTTAAATTCAACGTGTTAGCGTTTTCATATTCCTTGACTACGTTTAAATAGGTTGACTTGGGACATTTTTTTCGTGGTTTTTGTATTAGACCCGTCGTCCAATTTATTTGTAAGTCAATGTTTATATCACAAAGATCTTAGGGGCACTGCCACTGCGCCAGCACCCTGAGGTGTAAGTTGATAAGTCCCATGTTCCTGTAATTTCACCAGCACCATTACTATTTCAAACCGGAACGCAGTAATGCTCACATTACGGCTTGGCGGCAGGAATAGGTAAGGCAGTATTTCCCTGGACTAACTCTTTCACAAGGAGCTCTACTGCTGCCATTGTATCAGAAATTGATACGATACTTTACGTAGGGGGCGTAAAGTATCGTATGTCGAAATTGCCAAGTTTACAGGGGAGCGTTTTAAAGTTCTGAATTCACTGAAATAAGCGCAACACGTGACTTTAGCATTTCTGTTTTATTCGAGAACGAGTTTTAAAGTAGCGAGCATTGCCGAATAAAAGTGACAAATGCTAAAGTCACGTGCTGTGCTCATTTCAGTGAATTGAAAACTTTAAAACACTGCCCTGTAAACTTGGCAATTTCGACAACGATATTTTACGTAGGAGGGGTCGAAATGTAAATAGCCTGGTGCCAAAAATTATTAAGTCATGTTTAATATAAAAAACGATACAAAAACAGAGATTTTTAAATATTTTATGAGTTTGTTATAATTATTAATACAAAGATCGAACACTCAGAAAAAATTCCTTCGATCCGGTCGGATTCGAACCGACGTCTTCTTGCATACCGTGCCAGACGCTATACCAACTAAGCCACGGAACGAACCAACGGACCTCACGAATTTTTCTATGTGCTTGCGTCGTGTCTTTGTACTTGGTCTTTCAACGACTTTTTAGTCGTAGCGCCATCTATGAGAAATCTTTAACAGATTTATCACCCAGTTAGTACCTTTACAGCTACCAGTCCTGGCGAGAGATGTCGCTATTCACTGCATTAATTACATTTTTATTGAATTGATATGATATTATATTGATTATATATATATGATATTGATTATTTTATGAGTTTTTAAGTTATGTCAGTTTATTGTTGAGCTCTCCATATCATATTTTGATAAATAAAAATCTGACGATCATTAAGTATTTTTTGTTTTCACAGGGCTGTATAGCTACAATATTTATAAAGGGCAACATATACTGGTGCCGGTACCGCAAGTACTCGAAACTGGGCCAGTATCCCGTCACAGAAGTGCTTGTGGTGACCCTAGTGACTGCTATCATTGCTTACCCCAACCCGTATACTCGCATGAATACGAGCCAATTGATTTATCTCCTCTTCAATCAGTGTGGAATTTCCAACTCAGATCCTCTATGGTAAGTATAACCTATACCTATATGTATAACCTAACCTACTTACTAAAACTAAAAAATAACCTATAGCTATAACCTATCTTTTTGAAGACTTAAATAAAATGACATTTTCAGGGTTGCCATTTCTCATACAATTTTAGACAGTGATGCGGTTGTTGTCGTAATTACGTTATTGCCTTATTTAGTTTTATTTAGACAGTTAGCCTATTACAGCGAGTATATAATCAGAAATGGAGACGAAATATGGGCCAGCCATTCCTGGCAACTCATCAGGCAAATTGGCCTTATATCACTTTTAAATATTAAATCTCGTTTGCACTGAAATCACAAATTAGAAAGCTGAAATAGTACAGCGTCAACAACTGACCGGGGTGTACGAAACTATTCTTTATTTATTGTAATTAAGATAATATCTCTAACTATGGGGGCCTGTTCCTTTCGGTGTTGTGGCAAAAACAGCCAAATAACATCTAATTACAAAGAAACGGAATCACATTTCATCGGTAATTAAGTATTAAATATGTAATTTTTCAATTTTCGTCCATTATAGCAAAGCTCAAGTTAAACAGGTCGATTTGAAGTGAAACAAATGACGACACCCGTCTATTGTTTCGAATTCGGGTTGGCCAATCGGATCACAGTTGTCACCGTAATGATTTGGCAGAATAGTTTTCAAACAAATTTAATGACATTTCGTCTCTATTTCTGGTTATATATCGAAATCAATTTTTATTCAAGTTTTAATAAGAACAGGCGTATTTGATTATCTATATTGGATTAAAATGAAATCTTGAAATTACATCTCTTTGTTTTTAATAGACAATTATTAGGTAGTTCTTAATACAGTGTATATATTGTATGAAGTTACAAATATTGACAATTCATATAATGTGCCGATGACGATACAAATGAAGCAACCAAAATTCCGTCGTTAGTCGATAGAAAATTTATGCTGCGAGCTGCTGCGCAATGAACCATCATTTTACTCCATCTGCAAATAAGACAGACTACTATAGATCAGTAAACCTATATCTACATTTCAAAAACCCTACTGTTACAGTGACTACAACCGCAATTTCACTGACGTGAACATGGCAATCGAACGAGCCACTGCCGGTCCAGGCGTCTATCGCGCCATGTGGCTCCTGTTCTTAGCTTTGGTGCTGAAGCTCGTTATGACGATATTCACTTTCGGCATCAAGGTCCCTTGTGGACTCTTCATCCCCAGTCTCGCTCTCGGAGCCATCGCTGGCAGGATCGTGGGCATTGGTGAGTTTTTTTAGGACTATAGTCCATTTCAAATAATCCTATGTGCGTACTGCGGCATAAAAAGTTGTTACGTTTTCATCATCATCAAGTTGCAAAAATATATAGTAAATGTGCTATGATATACCAAAAACAAAAAAAATGTTTCAATTGTAATTTTAAGTAAAAATTACACTATATAAAGTAGATAGAAACTGTCAAGATAAAAATAAATTACCCCAACTACTCAATGCGTAAAACGGAATATTTATCCTTAGAAATTTATACCATAAAATCGATAAATTGAATCGGCTGTTGTGTATCGTATAATACCCGTACGCGGATCGTTTTGTTTTGAGCCTTGCGTAATATTTTTGGAATATTTGTTCAAATTTCGTTTCACTGCTGTTGATTTTATACTTTTTTAATGCCTATTTGTTTGGTTGTTGTTGATTTTTTTTATTTGTTCTGTAGTTTTTTAGTAACTTAACAACATAATAATTGACTCCTTATTATTTTGTTCATTATTTGTTCTTAGACTTATAATCTCTAAATCGATTTTCCCTTCGTTACAAACTATCTCGATAAGATATATAAATTGATTTTTTTTTATTAGATTTTACATCACTACAACTCTAGAAATTTCAAATCTCAAACGTCACCGTTAATAAAAAACGATGGTATCACAAACACTTACACGCGAGAAAATATAGAAAACTTATTTTCTACATTGACCCGGCTGGGAATCGAACCCGGGTCCTCAACTACACCAGAAAAACCGGTGTGCAAGCCACTCGATCTCGGAGGTCGTCCTCTGAATGTGACAGTTAGTCACATTCAATGGGTACTTGACATTACCGATTATTTTTTTATATCAGCTGAACTAAATAGATACTGTACATAAACGATGTACATTTTTGAAATGGCTTCTATTTCTGTAAAAAAACAATTTGCTTAACCCATGCAAAATGAACCATATTAGTACAGGAAAAAATTTAATTCGAGCTTAATTCCTGCACTCTAGATAATCGGCAGTGATTGTAGCAATACAATAAAGTCTGCAAAGACTTTGTTACCTAGTTTATTTCTATTTCTACACTGTGGACGAGCTGTTGCAACAGAGTTTTGGTCTGTCTTCATAATATTTTCATTATTTGTCACTATAATCATATTGTTATATCATTTGTAGGTGTGGAGCAACTGGTAAATCGTTATCCGAAGATTTGGCTCTTCTCGGGCGAGTGTCCTACGGGCGAAGATTGTATCACTCCAGGTCTCTACGCAATGGTCGGCGCAGCCGCTGTGCTAGGAGGGGTCACTAGAATGACAGGTATTATTTCCGTTTATGTTTTCCGAGGTATATGAACTTAAGGTATAGGCATTGCCATGTATAATTATTGTGTTACCTGTCTTTTATATGTTCGAACGATAATTTTGTGTGGTACAAGTGGTTAATAAATTCTATATTTTTTTATGAATTCGCCGTAATTAGTTTTTAATAATTATTCAAAAATATGTAATAGTACTTATGTGTATGTAATAATACTTCAGGTACATCTTTGGGCCCCACCTCAGAAATCAATGCTGCCGCGGCGAGTTCGTGCTTTTATTATATTTTAATGGTTTCCAATCATGTTGTTATTATTATAGTGTCCCTGGTGGTAATAATGTTCGAGCTGACCGGCGTCGTCCGCTTCATCGTGCCGCTGATGGCAGCCGCGATGGCGTCGAAATGGGTGGGCGACGCGCTGGGCCGACAGGGCATTTACGACGCCCACATTGCACTCAACGGCTATCCCTTCTTGGATAGCAAGGACGAGTTCCAGCACACCTCATTAGCAGCTGACGTCATGCAACCGAAGTAAGTATTCTGCTTCAACAACCCATTGAACTGGCTCCGTGGCGGACTGCCACACAGAGGTTCTAGGTTCGATTCCCGGGCCGGGAGAAATATTTGTGTTGCCTACATTTATTTCTCTCGTGAGTTTAGGTGTAATTTGCACCCGCGACATAGGGTTTCCCTAGTGTAGGGCTGTGTTGAGTATGTGCGCTATTATTATTTGCTACAATTGTAATTTTCACGAACAAAGTAATACTTTAATGAAACTGCTTCTGCGGCAGAACGGTTACCATGCCGGACTGCCACGCAGAGGTCCCAGGTTCGATTCCCGGGCCGGGAGAAATATTTGTATGACCTACATTTATTTCTCTCGTGAGTTTGGGTGTAATTTGTGGTTGTCTATGTGTGTGTCCATGGCACCCGCGACACAGGGTTTCCCTACTACGGGGCTATGTTGAGTGTGTGCGTTATTATTACTTTAATGAAACGCGATGAACGTTTCAGTATGTGCAGTGCTTTGTTTCTAAGTAACATTTTAAAACTGGGCGTGAATATCTTGGTCTTGTGATCCAAGAGGAGTATGACCGTGAAAGTGGCATGACAATGGCAGAATTTTTATTTTTCAACGCTCATCTTCTGGTGCTTTTTATTATCTACGATCTTTTATAACTTGGCGTTACGATACTACGCAAAGACTGTTGCAAAGTAAAGCGAGCTTTATTTAAACGAGATGCGAAGTTAGCTGCGTAGCTGCCTATGTGAATTATTTATTGCAAATTTTTTTTACTGCCTTATTGCGAATAGTATTTATAAGTAATAATTAAGTATAAATGTGTACCTAAGTAAAATAGCGAATACCGTGCTTTGTGGGGTAAATTTTTTCAAAATTGTTCAGTCCCATCAGGACAACAAAAAAATTGTATAATAACATCAGAATAGTAAAGAAATTGTGTGATAACTAGTGATCGGATATTCGGGCGCTTATTTACCTAGACTTTTTGGTTTTTACTGCCCATGAAGAATTAGTTTGGACATGCCTTTCTGGATAAATGTATGCACTCCTATAATTTTAATCCTGTTATCGCAAAATAATATTTTTGCACACAATTTCATAACATTTCACGTAATAATGTTTTTCTCATTGAATATGTAATGTATTCAGATGGTATATGCACTGTTCCTAAATTGTTGTCCTTATAGAAATTCTGTTATAATGGCTTGAGATGTACGTAATAAGTATTTATACGAGCTATAATACCCGGTACCTCAGTACCATTCATCAGAACATCTCCATTCTTTCCAAATCACGTCACGCGTGTCGGTCGGCTTTCGATGTACATTTTTTCTGTATTCCTTACTAAACAATTGTTAAAATGTTCTTTAATTAATTTATAGTTATATATTAATAAAATATAAATAATAATTACTCGTTCCAAGGACCTGGGATTGATCAAATTGATTTTTATAATTATATTTTTATTCAGAAAGGTACATCCACATTATATTTTCGTGAAGTAGGCAAGTCTTCAATTTTGTCTTCACGAATAAGCGCCTGATTATCAGATCTAAATTTGAATCAATATTGAATTTCTTAATTAACCTGATGACTTTGTACCCAATGCTTAATAAGCACATAATAAAAAAAAAGTTGCGGCAACTAACTGTCATTTTCATTTGAATATGTCATGTCTTTGTCCAATCGTCGTCGGAGTAATCACGGACGTTCTCCCAAAAATACCTTCCTGCTGCCTTAACGTTAGCGTTAAATTCATCGCAATTGATACTGGCTCAAGCCTGGTGACCGCCATTAAGGAAATAATAATAAGCCTAAACAAGACTTGAAATAAAATGTCAAAGTAACATGGGTTTTGTTCAAAAACGAGTATTTCTAATTCATTATATATATATTTTGCCTTGCCAATTTTTTTAAAATAATTTCGATTCTCCAACTTACCTCGAAAGTGTTTTGAATGAAATAATATTATTTGATAACGTATTTCAAGATGGATATAATTTTTCAACCCCGCAATTTTGCGAGTCCAATGAATTGTCCTTTGATAATAAGACTGAAGCGTTATTTATGGACGGCTTGCCGGATACACGCATGCTATTAGAGCTTTTAGATATTTAACGCTAAAGCGAATATCAATTTAACTGCTAAGGATATTAATTCGAAATTTGCATTTACACTCAATAAGGATTAAAACAAAAATAAGCGATTTTTTTAAAACATTAATAGTAGTGGTGACTGGTAGAATTTATGAAACTCTATTATGAAACTCACCTGTCGGCTCGTTTCATAAACTAAAAAAAAAGAAGTATCATACACTGCTTTATCTATACACTTAATAAGCTCTATGATGTGTTCAGGAACCGCATGTTACGACTGGCGAAATGGCGGCAAATATCTCACTCACGTCACACAACCGTAGTTTTTATTTAATTCATAGACAGAGTCGGCCCCGACTATCATATCGTTCGATATCAAGTAACGTCTGAAATTTGTCAAAATTGTTTTGCTATTGATTGACATTTCATTTCGAATAAAACTTAATTTCGACTGATACTAGAATTGGGTCGAATAAAATTGTTTTGTTTTTTTAGAGATGTTCGAAATATTAATGTAATAATAAAATCGAATTTGATGTTATTATTAAGCAATAACATTGACTTACAATTATATGGACGTCGGGTCCGCGCTAAAAATTGTCCGAACTTATAGGGCGTTAAATTCGTATACAGAGTGTCATTAACGCTCTAGTCTTCGTTTCTTCGACTGACAGAGAAGCAAGCAAAACTAGACAGTACTGCGATGACATTACAATTTAAATTCAACGTTTTAGCTTTTTCATATTCTTTGACATGTCACTACTATTAAATAGGTTGACTTGGGACATTTTTTTCGTGGTTTTTGTATTAGACCCGTCGTCCATTTATTTGTAAGTCAATGGCTATTGATTGACATTTCATTTCGAATAAAACTTAATGTCGACTGATATTAGAATTGAGGTCGAATGAAATTGTTTTGTTTTTTAGAGATGTTCGAAATATTAATGTAATAGTAAAATCGAATTTGATGTTATTATTAAGCAATAATAACATTTTCACAGATAAGAAGTTTGTTCTAACAAAACAGTTTATCTTTATGCTGGTCGTAATGTGCAGTTTTTGAACACATCATAGAGTATTTATGAATGTGTGTAGATGAAGAATATAACAAATTAATCAATAAAGTTATTCGATTAAAGAACAGTACGGAATAAGTAGCAGTAGAGCTCATTGTGAAAGAGTTCCTCCAGGGAAGTACTGCTACCTTACCTATTTCTACCGCCAAGCAATAATGCGTTCCGGTTTTGAAGGGTGCTGGTGAAATTACAGGCACGTGGGACTTTTCAACTTATGTCTCAGGGTGATGGGCGCAGTGGCAGTGCTCCTCAGATCTTTGGAATTTAAAGCTCTGAGTGGCACTGCAACTGTTTTGACTTACTAACAGGCGCACGACTTGTTCGTCCCCATCACTTAGCATAAAACCAAATTGTCCCTTACTACTGGCATTTTAGCGCGCTGAGCTTCACGATTTAAAATTAATTCTAACATTTTCGATGAACACGGTTGCAAAGTAGTGACAGTGCTATGGAATATTTAGAATCGGTCTGTTCCTTGCTAATGATAATAATTAAGATACTATCGATTGATTCGTAAAGTAATTTGGTAAAAGTGATGAATGAAGAAACAAAGAATACAAAACAACAAATGCTTTAATAAGCAGAGCTCCTTATGAAGAAGTTCGTCCAAGGAAGTACTGTCACTTTACCTTCCGGCTTAGAAGGGTGCTGGTGAAATTACAGGCACAAAGAATGTGTTAACTTATATAAACTGCCTCCGTGGCCGAACGGTTACCATGCCGGACTGCCACGCAGAGGTCCCAGGTTCGATTCCCGGGCCGGGAGAAATATTTGTATGGCCTACATTTATTTCTCTCGTGAGTTTGGGTGTAATTTGTGGTTGTCTATGTGTGTGTCCATGGCACCCGCGACACAGGGTTTCCCTAGTGCGGGGCTATGTTGATTGTGAGCGTTATTATTATTATTATTATCTCAATGCACCTCAGATATTTGTGATTTAAAGCTCTTAGTGACGCTGCAACTGTCATGGACAGGCGTATCGCCCCTACCATGATATGCTATGCAGCAAGAAACCAGTTTACATATTAATTATAAAACAAATCTATCCATCTGTGGTTCAGCCAAAGCGAATATATGCATCAAAAGTGTATTAACAAACCCGCTTGAATTAAATATTGCAAATCTGGCTACAGCACGTAGCGCAAATTGACGCATGAAAAATTAAAGAATGAATCAGTCCTACTGTCGAAATATTAGAGGTAATAAGCATGAGGTGAGTGCTCTGAAGAGCTGTTCAACCTCATCCCCCCTTCCCCGCTCCTGCTTAGAAGCACGCGTGCTGGCCTTCGTAGTCACCGTTTCACTACCTGCCGCATTCCATCGCGTACTAAAAGGTTTGGTGGCTCCTTTCTCTGCCGCACGGTTGACAAATGGAACTCCCTTCCGGCACATGTCTTCCCTCCCTCTTATGATATGGGGTCCTTCAAACGAGGCGTGAAGAGGCATATTGTAGGCAGGCAGGGTGGAGGTGGCTAGTGCAGTGAGGGTTTCATCGCTGCACTAGGTTCCTTCGCGTTTGGATACCACTTTCCACTTAACATCAGGTGGAGTGGAATCATTTGCCTGTCATGTAAAAAAAAAAAAAAAAATATTGAGAGTAATATAAAAAAAATCATTCTCCCATTGTCTCATCATAGCACTCCAGTCTTCCAACCCTGACGTTGGCGTAATCGTCCCGTAAAGCGTATTTTTATTACAACGTTTATTTATTTCGCAAATCATGCGCGTAGTTGCGCATGACACCATGTCACGTAAAGTACCACTTTACTTCTATTGTGATTGCTTGAAGTAACGGAACGAACAAGTTGTGCTCCTGGTGATAAGCGACTCGCGTATCCATATAACAGTTGCAGCGCTACTTAGAGCGTTAAATCATAAAGATCTGAGGTGCATTAAGACATAAGTTGACAACTTCCATGTGCCTGTAATTTCACCAGCACCCTTCTAAACCGGAAGGTATAATGACAGTACTTTCCTGGACCTTCACAGAAGACCTTCAACAGAAGCTCTACTGCTACTAAATTACATTAATAGATACGTTTTATATCTCGTAGCTATGCCATAAATAAATATGTATTTTATAAAGCTGCAAGGGCAACGTCCGATAACATCGCAGATGTGACACCAATAGTGTCTACTTTGTTTGCAGACGCAACGAAACGCTGGCTGTCATCACACAAGACTCCATGACGGTGGACGACGTGGAAACGTTGCTGAAGGATACCGAACACAACGGGTACCCTGTCGTAGTTTCCAAGGAGTCACAGTATTTGGTTGGATTCGTTCTGCGCAGGGACCTTAATTTGGCCATTCGTAAGTATACAGAATGTACAATTTTTTTTACGAAATAATTTCGTTTGTTCTCCTGACACAAAAGGCAACAACTAACGCCAAGATGTAGTCTGTTTCAATTCATTTTGCAAAAAAAAGGTAAACAAACCATTTTGGTTAAAATTTCTAAGCATTCACTCAATAAATGGAATAAGTAACACCTTCACGAATATATTTTGAAATTTTCAGCATAATATCTCACCACTTTTTCCAATAAAATTCATTTTGAATTTCATTTTAAAATCGTGTTTGATAAATGTTAGTCATTATCAAAGTTTATAAAGTTTATAAAAGTCTGGTTATTTATCAAGTGTTGCATCGGTGCACGGTCAGATTCGGACGTGCTCCAATACACAGTAAGAATTATAATAATTCGCGACCCGCGCGGCAATAGCCGCTGCGCGTAAATGACTGTGGGTTCCCAGCAACTCCTAGCCAATGAACTGCTGGCGTTCATCCAACACGCTGTCGATACTATAGACGAGATCAGCATCATGCAGGCCTGCAAATCAAATTTCAAGGAAGAGCAGATTTGCAGTGGCAAGGCGCTGCTTTTCCGTATGCTTGGCAAGTCTGAGCAGATGCCACTTCGCCGGAGGGATGGAGGAGCGAAGTCTCCAGGACGTCATCACGTTGTTAAAGGAGACCGACCCAGAAAGCGTGCCTGCTTTCGTGGCGAAGGAGCTGCACAAGCTGTGGACGTCACCAGGCTGCTGAAGGACAATACCATCAGTGAGTTGCGTGCCCAAGTTGCGTTATTGAGTAGTGCGGCTTCGGTAAGGAGGTCACCCGAGGCTTGTAACTTGAATACTTGTTACGGGGCGCAAAACGCATCTATCGGCAGTTTTGAGTCTGCCCATACGTCGCCTACCACTGTCACCACGTGCGTTTCCCCGCTCCCCGGCCCTCGGTCTTCCGCCCCGGCGGAGAGGTCACGCGTTGCAGCTGCTAACCGATCCAGTGCTCCACAACCAGCACCCAGGTAGTTACCAAAAATGAAACGGATACTTATCTCTGGAGATGTATCATCAGTACTACCGGGAAGAGCTGAACAGTGCGACGAGGACGGTTTCAAAAAGGTGGAAAGAAAGTACACCAGCGGTAACCTTAGTGGCACCGCCCCGTCTGGCCCTAATCATTTACCGCGTCCAGCGATACCGACGACGTTGTTATACGTGTGACGGCTTCATTACTCCACAAAGTCTGCCGATATTGTGGAGTACACACGGATGAAAGCCAATGCTACCCTGAGGGTCGAGCTGTTGGTATCCCGCCACTATGTAAATTTTAATTTTGTAGTGAAAGTACCAACTCAACATCTGTCGACCTTCATGAAAGATGAGTTTTGGTCGAAGGGTGTCATGTACGACGTTTCCCAGAACGGCTATCGGACATCCACGTTGCGTCACACGTCGCAGACAATACGTGTAAATAATAATTATTCAGTAGTGTTTTTAATGTATTATTATATATGTTAGTCTATATGTATTTATGGTTCTTTGTTACCTGAATGCAAAAAAAATAGTGCTGTACGACAAAAAAACCAATTCGTTTCATCAACTAAGCTTTTATTAAACGATTAGTAAATCATTATTCATTTAAGTCACAAACAAACAAGTATCTAACAATTTATTTATTATATTTACCGTCTCAGTTGATCTTTACTTACATAATAAACATACTTTTTACAATCCATATTTTTTTTATATCCTCTTCTTATCTTGTATCACTTATCTTCATGACGGTCCATGCGAAGTTCACTACAACACCCACAGATTATAACTTTTTAATCGTGTCCATCTAAAATATCATCACTCAGTATCGATCCACATAATATATTTTTGTTTGTAATTTCAAAAAAACTTGTTATTCTAACTTATTCATTTAAACAAATCGAATAATTCGATTAATTAATTGATTTCTAATTGGCAGTACAATTGACCATCACTAAAACGTACAAAAATTACAAAATAAAAATAAAATAAAATGAATGAATGAATGAATAAAATGAACTGAATTGATTACGTAATGAAATGATTACATGATGTGTGATACTTAGTAAGTTCACCGAGCTCCGTGACGAGGACGTGAAGTTCGGTGAACCTAGCAAGCAAGTCGGAGTCCCACCTATATATCCTATCATTTTAAGAAATCTGTTTGAGCTCTCTCGCACTCTGCGCAGACAGGATGCCACCTTTTTACGCATTAGTGCGTAAAAATCCTGAACACTAGGGTCGGCAAACATGCCTGACGCACTGCAGCATCGAGGAAGCCCAAACAGTGCCCTGAACACATTATTATACATAATGCATGTAGGGAGTTATAGGCCTTCTGAGTGAAATCGACCCATAGGCTGCTCGTGTAGAATGTCTGGCAGTAGGCTTTAAAAAACGTTATTTGGACTTCAGCCGTACAATGAGTAAACCTATGAGCCAGCATATTATCCCGAACTGACAAAGCCCTGCATTCCCTTTCTATGTCCAAGTTGTCATACAAGTTTTCTGTGACTATGTGCCCAGGGTATTTAAATTGTTTTATTTATTTATTTATTTATAAATAGAGTGCTGAATATTTACTGTTACCTTTAAATAACATAAATTCACTTTTCTTTTCATTGTTGTTGTGTATGCAAAAGTGCATAATTCTCACAAACTTTTAGTAATTTTCTCTGGCCACCAATCGACGGGCTCAGCAGCACCATGTATGTCATCAATGACCTGTTTATTTATATTTTTATTGAGACTCAAAGGATACCATTATAAACTTGATTTTAAATTAATTTTTCATCTATCACGTATTAATACAAGTTTTGTCGCGAAAATTTTGCGACAAAACTTGTATTTTTTGTATAATTATTATCAATGTCACGATATTACAAAACAAAATACAGAGTTAAGGGATCCTGTCGGTAGTACACGGGAGATTATTATTGCCCGTGTTACTACTAGTAGTTCAGCTGGTAGTACCACGGGCAACAAAGGATAATATTGCACCCTTAATAACAAAGTGACTTAATTCGAAGTTCTTGGAAAGCAGACAAAAAAGTACAAAAAACACTAATAATTCTTTTTTTTATTACAAATAGAATAATATTCTATTTAGATTATAAATATATTATATTTATCATATTTACTACGTAAGTTATTATCAGTGAAAGGAATTGAGGGAGATAATTAATTTATCTGAATTAAACAATAACGTGGACATTCCCTTCTAAAACCTTACTTCTCGGGACTTTTCGGAACTGATTATATTTGAATATGCGTATTATTTATTGAAATTTAAGTACATTTGCGACAAAATGTCCCAAAAATTATATTGTTGTTGTGTTTCTATAAGTACTTACGTATTTAAAAAATTTAGCCATTTAAAAAATAAACAAAAGAAAACCTATACTTTGGACCGCTTATAAACAATAATAAAAACGAAACGGATATGTCCATAGTACATTAACTCCCCCAATTACGTAAAATGCGATAATACGTACAAAACTAAGATAGTTGTGACATATAATTATCCCAAAGTATACATAGGGAAACGAAGACATTACTTTCAAGACCTTAACGATTATAATAGAGTCGTTATAATGTTTGTAGCATTTGAACAAAATTGAAAGGGGAAAATTATACACACTTTATTTTATCGATTCATGATTATTTCGAAACAGTACAATTATTTACTTGTTGCACTGTGTGAGCGATATTGTACATCCCAGAGTAACCATTGTATAAAACGTTTTCTGCAGCAAATGCTCGTCGCACCATGGACGGAATCACCGGTCAGTCCATAGTGTACTTCGCGGGCGCCTCTAGCCCTCCCCCTGGACCGCCCACCCACCTACCGCTGAACCGCATCCTAGACATGGCACCCATTACTGTCACAGACCAGACGCCCATGGAGACCGTCGTGGACATGTTCCGTAAACTTGGACTCAGGCAGACCCTCGTCACGCATAATGGGTAAGTAATTACACTGCTGTTAGTCTACTTTTAGAAAGAGCGTTTAAGGTTCAGAAGGGAGTGTGTTGGGGCGAATTGTGGTGCGTGGTACGATGATAACTGCAAACTCGTTCAAAACGCTAAATGAATAATTTTAAGGTTAGTTTTCTACACTTAGTTTCGCTGGCATTTTTTTAATTTAAATATTCTAGAATATTATCATGAAGTATTATTTAATATTCGAGTGTGGTTTCCTGAAATATTATTTAATATTTAGGGATTACGTACACGACTACTTAAATAATAAAAATTGCCACCGAAATTATGTAGAGGAAAGTAACTTGAAAATTACTACTGCTTTTGATGGCACATACATGGGTATGCAGAGTGCTAAGCTATATATATATTTTTGTTCAAATATCTCCTCCAGTGAACGGAACAAGATTCGTTAACGTGTAGCTTGATGTGCTATCGTTTGTACATTATAGGTATCTGTGCATTTGTCAACACGCATCCTCAGTATTTTAAAACACGTGGTGAAGTCACTCAAAGGCAAACTAGAGCTAAAATTATGAATTTTTTGCACCAACCTTTGAGAAATTATTTAATAAAATAATTTGAATTTTAATAGTTTTACAAATACAGTGACGTTATTCTGTTCAGAAACACAGTAACGCGTTTAAGTGGACTTTTTAAATTAGCAAAAATACGAGGTTATTTCTTTTTTAAATTTCTTCAGTAAGTCAAACTCAAATAGCGAGTACTATAGACAATATTTTTCAATTAAGTCAAAGTCAAGAAGCGAGTACCACAGATAATAATTCTGACAATTATAAACCGTATCACAAAGGCGCTCTTTTTAGTTCTGAATCAACATTATATTTATTTTATGATGTTGTATGTATCATGAAAATAAATTTTGTTGAAAAAGTAATTTCTAAGAATATCTACTTCAACGTGTGTATAATTTATTATCTTCACAAAACTTCCAAATGGAATTTAATCGCTACAAGGGCATACTTTTTATAACACTTTTTAAAATTTTCTATTTCCAACGTGTTGCAATAGCAAAAAAATAAAATAAAATTTGACTTGACCATTATGACCGCCGGTTTATTTGTATTTTTTCCATTACAGCCGCTTGCTTGGAGTTATAACGAAGAAAGATGTCCTGCGACATGTGAAGCAAATGGATAACGAAGACCCAAACTCAGTACTGTTCAATTAAAAATCATAGCATACATATTATATAATTATAAATAGGTAATTTAAACTGAACCTTTATTATACTTTAGTGAAATTCATAACATTTAAACACATATAGACGTAAATGTCACTTATATCCGCTTGTAAATTTCTGATTGTTTTCTGTTGCAATTCCGGGTCTATCGTACTGTTATTTTTGTGGAAAAAAGGTTCCCTGTCTGTTATCGACCTGGAGCAAGTCACGTGTCGTAATGAAAAAGTCGATAATAATCATTGACTTACAAATAAATGGACGACGGGTCTAATACAAAAACCACGAAAAAAATGTCCTAAGTCAACCTATTTAAACGTGTAAAGGAACATGTAAAAGCTAAAACGTTGAATTTAAATTGTAATGTCATCGCAGTACTGTCTAATTTTGCTTACTTCGCTGTCAGTCGAACAAACGAAGACTAAAGCGTGAATGACGCTCTGTATACGATTTTAACGCCCTATAAGTTCGGACACTTTTGAGCGCGGACCCGACGTCCATGTAATTGTAAGTCAATGATAATAATGCTATTTTTCAATTATACATCTATGTGTGTTGTAGTAAATCAATAGACAGTGTTACTTGTAAAAAACTAACATTTTTGCAGAACTACGTTACTAACACCATAAATATTTTGCACCATGACTTTTTACAATACGTAAAAAGTGCCAAAAATAAACTTTCAAATTTTTGTTGTAATATGTACTGTCTGACATTTTTTCTGTATTGGGTTGTAAGTTCAAACGTGCAAACGTCCGTCTCGATGACCCCCACCCGCGTTCCTTTGTTTTGCACAGAGTTATTTGTTGGAAAGTAAAGTGTGATGAATTATTAAAATTGATGCAATGTTGTTTATGATGTTAGTAATATCGTCCTATGAGGTTGTTGGTATTTTACTAGTAACCCTAAAAAGGTAGTCTTTATTATCAGAAATCAACGTAACACTAACTTTGATTAAGACTTTCCGCGTTGCAGCTATCAAACAACATAATTTGTCGTTTTAGCTCTGTTCAAACGGGTTACTAATATTTATGATATTATTAACTAAACTAATGGATAACTTTATCTAAGTGCTATTTTTGCTCAATATGTTTCAATCCAGTATTTTTGGTCGATATGGTCCTTAATCATGATTCAGACTTGATAAGATGAGACTTTGGAATGCGACGTCTGTTAGTGTAGTGTGCAAACTTGCGCAGGTGATGGTACCAATGATCGGCATTTTAAGTGTCGTTAAATTTGAAATAACTTTTTTATTATAATTATTAAACAAGTATCGAACACTAAGAAAAAAGTCACTTCAATCCGGCTAGATTCGAATCAATGTTTCCTAGCAAACCGTGCAAGACGCTCCAAGTAAACCACGGAAGGAACCAACGGACCTTACGAATTTTTCCAATTTGAATTTTCCCCTCATCAATGAGCATCCAGTAATAAGTATGCCACTTTCCAAAACACAAACTAGTGTGATCACTGTGACACTTCATTTGACGTTTGTGATAGGGATCATAGGGATTGATCGATTTTTTAAAGTATTTGATTTTTGAAGCACATATTCTCTCTTATACTCATTGACTTACAAATAAATGGACGACGGGTCTAATACAAAAACCACGAAAAAATGTCCTAAGTCAACCTATTTAGTGACATTTCAAGAAATATGAAATAGCTAAAACGTTGAATTTAAATTGTAATGTCATCGCAGTACTGTCTAATTTTGCTTGCTTCGCTGTCAGTGGAACAAACGAAGACTAGAGCGTGAATGACGCTCTGTATACGATTTTAACGCCCTATAAGTTCGGACACTTTTTAGCGCAGACCCGACGTCCATATAATTGTAAGTCAATGCTTATACTTTTATTTTTCTGACGTATTCTGAACGATGTATAGATGTGTGAAGTGTTTTATATTATATTGAAGGTATAACACACAACTAATAATTGAAATGCAATTTCAGCAGACATATCGTCATTGCAAATTTAAAACCTCTAATTGGTGTAAAAGCGTATTCAAAGATACAGAATACAGAAACATTTCTTCCCATACATTTTAATCTCATTGTTTATGTAAATAGCAAAATAGAACAAAAATACTTGGAAAATTTTACAGGAGGAAAAAGGAAAAGAATATATAGTAAATTTGAGGATATATCGCCTGTTTAAAGATAAAACCACGTAAGTGGCATTTTCCACGAAGTCATTTTAATTTAAATGGCACGCGAAGCTCAACAACAAAAAAGCTTAATAAGAGTTTTATCTGCAGAAAGATGGTGAATTTCTTACAACTGGTGCATAATTTGGAGGTTTTTTGTGGAGTCACTTATTTGGTTTTACCTTTAAGCAGACCATATATTGATTAGTATACGATGTGATAGAACTATTCCTAAAACTTTTCACGATAGAAAAAAAAACAAACTTACCTCGAAATTTTACAAGAAAACCGCTGTAGTCAGTCGTTACTTTACATATATATACCAATTATTTTTTCATATCAACTGAATTAAGTAGAACACATATAGTATACCATGTACATTTTTCTAATTGTTTTAATTTCATACGTAAAGATATAAAGTCTGAAATACGGCCAGTGTCCCTCCCGCTCGACTCGCGTAATAGAACCTATTCAGTACGGGACAAAAATTGAATTCGAGCAAAAGTAGTATCGACTATTAAATACGTGAGCTAGTGAGCTAACCATCAGTTTAGTTAATACGTCTCGTCGGTAGTTTTATATTTATGATATTATTAAATTATGAGTTATAATGGGCTGATCTAATGAGTTAACACGCCATCACGCCAATATGCAATTGGAGCAGTGCCTACAACCTTGCAGCAGCTAACAGACCTGACCTAGGGCTAACCTCTTTCGCTTCTCTTTTTAAAAGACATGCGATTGAGAAAGAGATAGAGGTATGAATCAACATTTGCGAACTGTTACAGAGTTTACGTTCCGAATCCGGGAAATGACGGTCCGAAATGTCGCAAGAAACGTTTAATCTCTAGGTGTACTAGCGACTTATTTTCTCGATTTCGTATCGGACTAAGTGCACTAGCGACATCCGAAGTTAGTAAGTTTTCTAGATTAGTTTAGTCTCGGATTTGCAGCGAAAACGCACGAGATTAACGTAATTGGCAGTACCTACGTGCGGTAGTCACGACAAAGACACCTTATCATTAGCAACGGTGTCATTTATATTGTGTCTGGTGTGTTAGCAAATGTAATCGGTTTGTGATTTTTGCTAAAAATTGTTTTTATTATTAAGTATGGAGCTCGATATGGCTGTACACTGCACCATAGTTGTCTAATGGTGTTCCTTTTCATTATCATTTATTGACGACAAAGCCCATACTAATTTGCTAACAGATTGGCTGCATGTGTGCAGTTAATGCGTGAAGTCGTAATCAACTTCATGCAGCCTGGACCTCGTGAGGACCTGAAAAATATTAATTTAACCATATAAGTTACAAAAACAAATAGTGTTAATTTGTATAATATTAATATAATATAATATAATAAACTGCTAAGCGAAAGCAAAACAAGGAGTTAGGTGACAGACTTTTATGAAGATGACGATATTTTGCACTTGATTCTTACTGCAGAGAAGTACTACCATGCTCAACTACGCATTAACTGCATGAAGTCGGTTTCAGTTAATGCGTAAAGTCGTTATCAACTTTATGCAGTCGAGTTGTCAGAGAGCGACTTAGCGCATTAACTGCATGAAGTTGAGATAGACTGCGTGCAGCTCACATGTCACATACATGCAGTCAATCTGTTAGCAGCTTACACTATATCTCGATTCATTGTTTATATGCCATTTTTTTTGTGAATAACTCATGTAGGCCATTTTTAATACAAAAATAAAATATCCTGCATAATGTATATAGTGTCTGAAAACAGGTATTTTTATTGCTGCGTTCAAGCTGTGTGAATATAAGCTGTAGTTACATATTTATCCCATCTCTACTTAGCGTATAAACTTATGCATATTGAGACGGATAGAACATCCCTTGAGGAACGCGCTCGAGCAGATTGTACAAGCTACATTTACTAACGTGAATTGTTTAAACAGCAAAATCACATAAGAACCTGAAATCACATTTTATATGTATGTACAGTCGACCCAAGAGCCAACGTTAAGATGTAGATAAGGAAATATGTATATTTTGTATGAAAACAGTTACGTAAGAGTCATTATACAATAGTATAGCGATTAATTATACAATTTGTATATTATAATCTTTGCAATTAATAAAAGATCTTATTTTTGTTTTACTTACTGTCTTGTAAACAATAGGGTGTTTGACTATTATCTAAAAATAATGCCATTGCTATTGAATATATTGTAAAATAGACAAACTAATGGACTTAAATTAAAAGTAAAAAAAACGTATAGTAAACGTACATGCTTTAAGAGATTGTTAATGTTAGCAGGACAGGTCGCGGACTTGCGCGAGAGCGACATAAATCTCGAGATACTGCTATTAGAAATTAACTGCTTTACAACGTTAATGACGCCATACAAGCTACGTACGAATTATCATTTTGCTACAAGGGGCCGAAGCACTGCAGGCCGTAGCAGAAAATTTTAAGTCAAATACCCTATTGTAGATCATTGTATATTTTGTTTACACAGGTTTAAAGCAACCAATGAATTATTTTACTATGTGAATGCATTCATGCGTACGAATTGGTTTTATAATTATAGTTTTTAATCTTATATACGACGCATAATAAAATAGCAATTTTTTTAGTGAACATTTTGAATTTTTACCATGTATTTATTAATATTATAAAAATAATGTTTTCTATATTCATACGTTTTCAATATGCCGTGTAGTTTCTTTCGAGAGGGGTTTGTGTATTGTCATATATAGTCCTTTTAGTATTCTGGAAGGACAGGGTTCTATGAAATTTATAAAAACCCTTCCCTGTTTATTAATGCCCTTGATCGGCAATCAGTCCATCAGGAGCGCTAGCATGACAATGCGCGACTTGCGCGAGAGAGATAAAGCTATTCTCTCATAAAGATCTCGCGCTTGATGTTGCTCTAGCGCATATCTTGCTCAGCCGTGCTAACCCTACAGGACTTCAATTTTCGCCGTTATAGAACATAGATTCCCAAAGATTTTGTCTCGCCTCCCGCTTAAGCAAGATAAAAAAAATTCAGCGCCCACCACCACAAAAAATAATTGAAAACATGTATTT